TTCCTATTTTTTTCCAAATGACTAAGCCACAAATTAATTATTATGCTTTGTGGTTCTTTAAACACAATATGGTAGATTTTGCACAAATTTTTTGAGATACATAATTTTTGGAAATTTGGGGCATTTCAATGTATTTAAATTCATCGCGCATGATATAAATAAAAAACCCAAATTTGCATTTAAAAAAATGAATTTCGAATATGTATAAAATACTGAGCTTCTAGATTTCGCTAGTAGATGTCCAAACCTTTGTGCCATTCATGAGCAAACTCTCCAGGCGTGCGTAATATTTTTCTAGATAAAATATTGAGTTAGCCGTGTTTAAAAACCTGTTCTAATCGAGCCTTTTAATGACACTACTATTAAGATATTATTCCATATTTTCATTATAATCAGGGGGTCTATAACTACTTTACATTCCCTTGATTAAGCCACTGATGATATTTCCCTAAACCCCACTCCCCTCCCCTATCCACCAAGGAAAAAGGAAAATCAAAATTAGCATATCCTGCTCCATTTATTTACCATCATAAAAACTTAGTAGAATTATAGGCCTCCTTTATTGTATGCGCCAAAAACCTCAATGTCGCTTAAACGATGTGTAAATTACGATATACCTAATATTAAATTATAGAGCTACGCTATCGTTTAGCCATTAATTACCCATATGAGTGATAACACTTTTGGGTGACTTTTAAGGGTTCTGTCTGGGTTCCATAAAATAATGGTTAATATATGCTTACTCTGGAGGGTCAGTTTAGCTCCCTGATTTTCAATCAACAAAGATAAAAAATTTTGTGTAATGTTACTATTAAAAATGTATTATTAATAATTTTATAAAAAAAATGGCGATATTTGATAATCGGTGGGCTATAGAATATTATTTGATATTTAAAAAAACTGGAATGACATTGAATTTCTATATCATTCATTCTACAATTTTTTTTAAAATATAAATTGCTTTCTTCAATATTTGGTCGTTTTCTTTGATACAATGAATTTAAAATGACATTTAAACTAATGTTACTTTTTGTCAAATTTCGTCCAAAAATAATAAATCGCTTTTTTTGTGTTCAAAAATGACAGTTTTTTCTAAAAATAATAATATTTATATATATAATATGCAAATTTTAAAACAGAGAAAAGCAACAATTACCTCGTTATTTATGAAAATCATAATTGATCCCCACGCATCCCCGGGTACGAATTATTTAATTTAATAGACCTATTCAAAAACGAACACGAATGATAAATGATTCTTTTGAACGAATCGAATAATTTACTATTCGTAATTATTCCTATTCGATTCGTAAAATCACGAACATTAAATTATTCAATTCGTTCATAAGAATATTCATATTCCTTTTTTTGAAAAAATAGGCCAATCATATCATATTAAACCTTTTGCAAAGATCATACTGGCAAAAAAAAATCATCTTCACTTGAATTTCACAATTTAGTTTACTTATTTAAAAAGTTATTGTGATTAAAAATATATGTATTAAAATACTTTTACGAATACTGTCGAACATAATAGTTATCTTCACCTGATTCACAGTTTATTTCACTTAATTTAAAATTAGGTGTACAAAAAATATAAGGATATAAAAATACTCTATAAAATTGGTAAAAAGAAATAAATTTTACATCGTTTGGTTTGATTAAAATTACTCCACCAGACAAAATAAAAATTTCAATTTTGAGTCATATATCAAAAATTACTTTTTAAGTAATAAAAAAAAATTGCGCGACTACAAAAGTTACACAAGCTCAACAAATTGTAAATGTCTCGAAGACTATTAAATCAATATTAATGAAATTTGGTAGATATAATATAAGTATATTTACATAATAATAAACGACTTTTAAACCCCGATCAAAACATCGTCTCGTTTTATTTGTATTTACCAAGATTATGAAATTTGCGGGGTCGTATATATATCATTTTTGCTCTGAAGGGTTAAATGCCGGACCTGTAGAGCTCTGAAATTATTTGAACTTATAGATTTTTAAAAAGTTTTTTCTTCTGATTTTTTTTAGAAAAATTTTTGTTTATTTTCATTAAATCCTTATAAATTACATTGAATATGGAAAACTTAGTATGGGTTTTAAGGCTGGCTTAGGAATTTTTTTAAAAAAAATATTAATATAGTCTGGACCTATAAATTTTTTTTTACTGCGGTCCTGGGCATGGTCTGATTAAAAAATCTAGGCACATGAAGGTACACATGTATAGAATAACAGGCGATATATTTTAGATCTACAAAGTCCGGTTTGCTAAGAAATTTAGCACGAGTAGCCCGGCCAGGCCCTTTATAAATTTTTTTGAAAAAAAATTGCGGGTCTCTATTTCTGCTTTATATATATATACATAAATAAATAAAAGAGTGGGAGACGGGGTGATCCAAGATAGGAATTTAAAAAAAATGTATAAAAATTGGCCCTTCCCGAATTTTCTGGATTTTAAATCTTTATTATTTTTTTAGGATTTTTAATCTTTATTTTTAAAAGTATCCTCTTATTTTTCGAGCAGGTTATTTTTTATCATTTTAAATAATAAACTATTAAACTAGAGTCATCTGATTAATTATTTTCTATATTTACTAAATTTATATTTTTACTCGGGGCATTTGTTATCTCTTTATCGGGAGAAGAGGAGGAATGGCAGGTTCTTTATCAATCATTATCATAACGATTAAAGATGAGAAGTCAATTTTTTAAAATTATTTTATTTTAATTTTATATGTGATTATTTATTTTATTTTATAGATATTTCTTCTTTTTTATAAGCTTTTTATAATTTGGTTATTAAAAAAAATATTATCTTATTATGACACCAATAGAGTGTATCGCAATATAATGTTATATTATTACTTTTGCCTTAATTAAATTATAGTAGTGACATTTATGAGTATAGTAGTAAATAATCAATATTTCATCCTGTCGGCCTCGATTGTATTGTAATTTGCTCATAAATGCTGCATTCGCGGTGATATCTTAAAAAAATGGAACTACTCCTTCCTCTTAAATCCTATTTCCGGTCTATTAAATTTAAGAGGTTTTTTTAAATGTTTACTAAAATTTGAGACTGCTTGCTTCCTAAGTTTGTCTTTTTCTTTAAAAAAATATTTTAAATCAGCTGACTGAATATACAATGTCAATATTTATGCTTACTTTCGTCTTAATTAAATTATATAACATTTATGAATGTAGTAGTAAATAATAAATATTATTGTCATTCTGTCAGCCACGATTTTTTTTGTAAAATTTATCTTAATATATATATTTTTTTAAATAAGAAAATATTCTCATATTATCTTGAAATCTCGAAAAAATGAAATCTTACAACCGCCAGGTCGATTTTTTTAAAAAAACTTTCTAAATAATCTACTAAAATAGCCTCTATTTATTTCTTCTTATTTAAAATTATTTTTTTAAAATCAGCTGGCTGAATAGAATTATTTATATGATGAAATTAAGAACCCCTAAGCTAACATCCCTCCTCCTCCACACTGTTCATCTTATCGAGGCTTTCATTAAATATTCAAGATACCATTTTTTTTCTGTTTTATTTTCATTTTTTCCAATTTACCAATTCATTCATCATTTTTTTTTGGCATTCATATTTGAAACATGTTAATTTTTTTAAAATCATTTTATTTTTGTCAAATTAATCGTGTTACCGAGAATTTATAGAACTAGTGAAAACTAAATATTTATATTTACTTTGAAAAAAAATATTTAAAAATTTGCTCGATAATGATGTTTTTTTTGGCTTGTTTGCATCTGACATTTCTTAATGCTAACAAATTCTAGATTGAAAGGGAAAAAAAACTCTTATTTTTAAACATTGTTTTTGAAACAAAAAAAGACGCAACATTTCTGTTCATTTATTAAAATTGATACTTAGATTAATTATAAATAGAAAATTAAAATATTATTTTCTTTCGATTACAAATTTGACCAATATTTTTTTTGAAAGTTTTATTGATTGTCTTTTCAAATCAATAATATTTATGTATAACTTTTTTTTTGACTCGACTCGAATTTGTTTTTATCCGACATTTATTGTTCTACCAATTTTTATTAATAGGGTATATTATAGCTTTCTCTTTGCCCCGACTCTTATCTCTGCCTATAAACCTTTAAACAATAATTTTTCGGACTGTTTGTACGTGCAATTATGTGCTGCTTGCCCACAAATAAGGGACTCCTCACTTTTAATTTTTCGTTCCATTTAGTTGGAAATGAGGAAAACCTAGCGTAGCTCTGTAGAATTTTCAACGTTCGAAGGCGATGCGCTAAACCACGTGATACAAAAAATGTTTATTTTTAGAGTAAGTAAGAGATACTTAAAAAATAGAAGTAAAATCTTATATTTTTTTTTGACAATCATATTTGACAAATATCTTATTTTGAAAGTTTGATTGATTGCCTCTCCCAGTATTTCCTTCGTTTTCGAATCATTGATTTATAAATCAATAATTTTAAAAAAGTAAATAATAAATTACTTATCCTTATATTGGTTTGATAAATAACAAAATAATCTTTTATAACTAAAAGCTCACGTATAAATATTAATAATTTATTTTATTTTATATTTATTTTTTTGGAAAAAGATAATTTATATATTAATATTTTATTATAATTTTTTTTTTTAAATAGGTAAAAAATATATTGAGCTATCTTAAAATCAAAAATTAAATATTTTTCCTTTTTAAAGGCTAAGTCCAAAATATCAAAAATAATATGATTTGCTAAAAACTTTTGAAACTTTATAGAAAAAAAAATATTAGATAATTTCAAAAATTTAGCATACGATTTTTATTAAAATTTTTAAACTTCTGGAAGTTTTCTAAGCAGCTCTAATTTTTAAAAAGAATTTGGACTTGACCTTAATTAAATTTTTCTATTAAATATTATAGATCTAAAAGAAATTCAATTATCAGCATTTTTAAATTTTAATTATTATTTTTCTTTTAAAAAAAAATATTATATAGAAACTCCTATAAATATAAAAAAAATCTCAATGCTAATTGTATCTGAAGCTATCAACTCAAATTAGATTGACAAAAAAAAATTTCCCATATTTTTTGGAATTCAAACATCAATAAATATAATCATAATTGGCCAAGAATAAATGCCGATTGACATATCGCCGCCATCAGAGAATTTTTTGGCTAGCGCTACCACCGAGCAAGCCGTTAGACATTTAGCCTGGAAAAATAAAAATCTATCCCCATTATCCGTAGACTTTGACTCCACCTTCAATAATAATAAAACGATTCATAACCTTTACAACGGTCGGAAAGCTTTGTTGTATCCTTCCCACACCGCGAGCAGGCATCACATCATCCTATCCTCATCGTACTCGCCCAACGGCAGCAAAAAATATCACCACTCCGCTACGCACTTGCCGTCCAAAAACCACCCACAACTAAAATCTCATAACAATGGGCGCGATGAAGTCAGGCTACCTAGCTATTTGTTGGAAAGGAATCACCAATACACGGATCATTACGCCGATAAGAGGGGCACAAAGTGCTTGACGTCCATCTTGTCTCACCAAAAAGGAGGTTCCTATACCCCGGCTCCTGGCATAGAATCGTTTTATTTCTCATTACCACTCGAATGTTGTCCGGCTAAGAAGCGACATTTTGAAATCACGAAAGTATCCGGCGAGGAACCGGCTTTCTCCGAATTCCATGTCGGAAAGTAAATCTATATTTGAAAAATTTATTCTTAATTACACATTTTACTTGGCCTGGTGCGAATTCGTTTAAAATAAAATTAAAATAATAATGTTATTGTTTATTTTGATAAAATTAAAACACTGCCATGCCGCGTAATCTTTTACGCTTCTTCTATAGTAAGAGCGATTTGCTCAAACGTTACGAAATTAATCGCTGCGTATTACGAAAGAAAGCCAATAATAGTATAATTTATAAATGCAGAGCGAAATGATGAAATCGCGACTACTGTTTACGCGTATTTCAAAAAGTATTATAGCTATGAGGAATCCTGTGATTTCGAATTTCGTAACCCTTGAGCAGTGCTGCGTCATTTTTCCTCTAGGATTTTTTTACAATCCTTTATTTTTCGTTTTAAGAGAAGTAGATAATAAAATTTTAATATCCAAACACAGTGACACAAAATCACTGCTTTTTGGTTATCAAAATTTAGTGGGGGGGGGGGGGGTAGTGTAACTACTTGTTAACAGGCGTAGTCATCATGTTATAAATAGATCATATATTTAGGCCACCAGGAAGTGGGCATGGTCATTGGCGGGAGGGGGCGATTTAGATGGACTCTCCTAAAATATTATAAACTTCAAAACAATCAAGACAAAGGAGAGAGATAAAGGGGGGGGGGGGCTGATTAAGCTTGAGACAGTGAAGTATTTTGATCCAGGGCCCGTTTAAGATTTTTGTAAAAAAACATTCGGGTTGGGTTGATCTGATTTTTTTTGAACATTTGATCATTTGACGCCTAGCCCGGATTTAAAAAACATTTTTCTTATTTTTGAATAATTTTGAACTGGTATATTTTGGTAAATTGCTTTCTAAAGTAAAATGTGCAATTTTGATATAACGCTCTTACCCCTTCATTCATAGTAGTTAGATGTAATTCGCGGCGAATTATATGCCGCATTTTGTGTATTTTTATTATATACTTAGCCGCAGATTCGCTTTAATTAAGAATGCGGGGGTTGAACTTGATAGAAATCTCTTACATAGAAAAAAACTCACAAATATTCCATGTCAAATCAATGTTAATTTCAAAAGTTAATTTTTGATATTTTTTCATTATTAAAGTAAAAATAAATTTTGTTACAAAGGATCTCGATAGAAGGAAGCGTTAAATGAATAAGGCCTCGTATATAATAAATGCGATATTAGCGCGACAGCCGTTCGCGATGACTTAAGTTACAAATAAATACAGCTATGCTATCATTTAGAAATGATCATCACTATATTATTATATTAATGAATGACATGGGGGAGTGGGAAATCCGGGCAATTATTTTTTTTTTTAAAAAAATGAAAGTTTATTTGAACAAAAAAAGAAGTTTTATTTTCTAAAAATAGACAAGCATAAATAAAATAGAAAAATAATTATTTACATAAAGGATTTTAAAAAAATGAACGACTATTAATAAATTAGAATCTCTTTAAAAGTGTTAACAAAACTTTCGGGCCAAATTTTGTGTCTTAGCTTTCGAATTTAATATAACAATAATGATTATTACAACTTAACAATTTTCTAGAATTATGTTTTAAGTCTGAGACAGGCCAGGTTTGATTGGTCTAAAAATTGAACTAAGCGATGGTGGTGAGCAGAGTTTTAAAATAAAAAATTCTAAGATGTTTTTAAGATTTTTTATTATATTTTGAGAAGAGCATTACAAACTCGAGTAGTGAGTGTTAAATAAAATATTGTTATCTTACACTAGGATATTGTGTTCTGGAATTACTAGCGGCGGAAGAAAAAAAAACCTAGTGGATGCCGATGACATTGATTTTTGAACTAAAATAAAACCTTGCCCCTCGCCGTCCATAATTTAAAAAAGAATGAGAAGCGAAGGATTATTAAAAATGAGTTCTCATTTGGTTTAAAAAAAATTCGTACCGGTCCGCAGGCGCGTACGCATTTAAGGGTGACATGAAAGCTAACCCCCCCCCCCCCTTCCCAATCAAAAAATTAATATGCCTGCTAAAATATATTTTAAAAATATTACTGATTCATACCTCTTATCGCATACGTGTATTTTAATTTACATTTATTTATCACATTCACAGCAGAAATAAATACTATAAATTAATATCGATTACAAATTTTCCTTGGCGTTATATTTATCCACCTTATAAAATTTTCCCATTAAATTATTTGATACCTTTTTAACTGAAATGAAAAACTAAAAGTAACATATTTCAAGAAAAGACATTTATTTTATTGATTGAGACTGTGAGAATAAATAGCTCAAGAGTATTATTGAAACTTAAGTTGGGCTGTGCCGATATTAAAACGATATGGTAATAAATGCGCATATCTCGGCATTAGCATAAGATAAGCAGTAAATTTTTAATGCATAACATCTTGGAAGGTTATTAAAACAATTCAGCATCTCCAAATGAAATTGAGCCTATGTCTTGATCAGTTTTTAACATTTTCCCCATTCAGAACAAATTCTTGGGCCAATTTTGACGTCTCCTTATTTATAATGAGGATGTTTAAGTATGCAAACTACGATATAAAAATGTTAAAAATATGGTTGATAATGTTTTAAAGAGGCTTCACATAAATAAAAATACATTCGAAGTACTACCTTGAAAATAGAATGGATTAGATGGGCGGTAGCACTTCTTAATATACATAGGGAGTTGATATTAAGCACAACTGTATAGTCTACTAGGTTCTAATAAATTCATCCCCCAATTGGTCTCTAATTATATAAAAATTTATTCTTATTAATTTATTATAAATTATTTTTTAATACCTGTTGCGAAGGTGTATGGGTGTGATAATGGATTTCAAATTAAAATAATACAATAATCGTATTTTGCCGTAAAATATAATTATATAATCTTTCTATTATATTACATAAAAAAAGAAGAAATTATCATAAATTATTGCTAGAACTGGTTTGGGTTAATAATTATGATGGAGATAAGATAAACTATTTTCATAATCTTAAATATTTTTTGAACGATAATAGATTGTTCTTACTTCTTAATATATTTCTTGCCCTTTTGCTATAAAAACAAATAAAATAAATATTTATTTATCAACTATTTTTAATTTATTCTCAAAAAAATATATATTTATTATTTCTTCTTTAAAAATTAATAAAGTTTATTACCTTTCTTTCTTGCCTTTTTTTGCTTAGATAAAAAAAAAATATATATTTGTGAAAATAATTGGATATAAAATAATAATTTTGTTTACAAATATTCTTGCTATTACATAGAAGAATAAAATTCAAAGGAAAATAATTGGTAAATGTGTTTTTTTTTAAACTGTTTTTTAAATTTTTTGGGAAAAAATTTATCAATTTTTAGAGACCTGCAAAGATTCTATTTGCACGGCCCGGCCCGGGTTTTATATTTTCAGACTGGCTACCTAAAATATTTGGTTTTAAAGTCGGGCCGGGCCGGTTTCTTATATTATATAAAAAAAATAGCATAAACGTCTTTTTAAGCAATTGTTTGCGCAAATTCGCAAAATCTTTATTCGAGTTAAAAGATAGCGCATTTTGCGAGAGCGCCATTTTTTTTGTAACATTTTTGCGCCGAATTTCTCAATTTTAAATTTTATATAAAAAACAATTATAAAGGGTAGAGGTTACAACTAAAAGGCTAAGAGAGATAATATGGATAACATTTAAAAGATTATGAGTAATGATAACTAAATTCATGTTAGCATTAAAAGATTGAGGCATGGAATTAGGATTTAAATTTATAAGGTTTAGGAAGATATGGGATAATTTTTGTAATATAAAATTTTTTGATAAGGATTTTAACATTTTTTTCTTTCAATATCATTATTTTTTGATAGATAATTGAATATTATCCAACATAAAAGGGGTGTGGTGGGATGAACTCGAAATTATAATTACAGTACTCGTATTTCTGTTTGTTTACTTAAATTATGCAAAAAAAAATAACAGAGTTTGAGAAAAAAAACTTGAAAAAATTTTTTATAAAATTTTACCGAAATTTTTTTTTTATTTTGTAAAAAATGATATATTTTATGGAGGACATTTTATTTTGGTTTTGTTATTATATAATGCATTTAAAAACTTTCAAGATGATAACGGCTCTTGAGCCAACCAGAAAATTATTGCCTAAGCCTCGACTTTGTGCCATCTACGAGAAAAATCTTCAGGTTTGCCTAATATTTTGCTGGATAAAGTATTGAGTTAGCCGTTTTTAAAATCAGCTTAAAACTAGCCGTTTAACTTACAAATTCTTTTTTTTTCAAATAGAACTGCTTAAAAGAGGATTATTTTTAATTAAGCAATTATCATCTCGACTTAATAAATACTATTCATATTTGGAAAGCCGGTCAGTTGGGTATTCGATTCTGAATTTGCAAAACCTCCGAAAAAGGAATCGGTATATTCGGTTCGAATTATTATTATTTCTTATTCATAAATATAGATTTTCCAATTGAGTGTGAAGTGAAGAAGCAATAGGACAGAGATTTATGTACTTAAACTTTGAAGAAAATTGAAAATTATAAGCCTTAAAAGTGCGGGGTTTTGCTGTTATAGTGGCATGGTATCTAATAAATGAAACTTAGTGTTAAAGACCATCTCAAGCAAGTTTTTTGAATATATTTTACTCACAAAATCACAATTTTATTTGTTGAAAATCTTTTATTAAAATATTTAAAATGATGCGAAATTATTTACTAATTTTTATATTTTTCTCGCAAAAATTTGACAAATTAACAAAATTTTAAGATATAAAATGATTAAATTTTCACAATTCTAATAACTTCTAAGAATCACAAAATTTTCGCGAATTAGGAAAAAAATCTTTAGGCCAACATTTTAGCTTATATTTTTTTATTCGTTGAATGACCTATAGCCTAAAGTAATTGTGATTTTTACGCTGAAAAAAATGATGATATCACAAATCTTCTATTTTGTGATCTACAAAGATTTTTTTTTCTTCTCCAAATTTGATTTGCCGGAGAATACAGTTTATGTACTTTTTTTAAGCCTTAGTTAGCAGGAAGGGGAAAAATAATCGATATTATAAAGAGCGAAGAAGAAAAAAAATACAAAACAAGGAAATTCCTTTTTCCTTTGCAAGCTTTTTCTTTTTATTGAAAATTTAATATAAAAAATATACTTTGTTTGTTTTATAATAACGTATATTGTATTATATATTTTTTCTTTTTCCATAATAAAATTACTTAATTAAGGAAAGATAAAAAAAATAAAATTGAGAATAAATACATTCGGAAGTTCTTTCGTTTGCTATGGAAGAAGATATTATTTTAATTTAATTTTTAAGTAAGGAAATAGAAGAATGATTAAAATTTGATATTTTTAAAAAATAATTAAAATATTTACATAAACGCACCTTTTATATAGTTTAAAAATAATAAAATATAAATTTGTATTAAAATTCTCATTTGGTTAATTTATCAGAAAAATAATAAATGTTTTAAGTTTCATTTTTTTTAAACGATACAAATATAATAAAATATTGAATTTTATTAAAGTTTATATATTTAATTAAGTCAACACAAAACGAAAAAATAAATCAATTTTAAATTAAATAATATAAAGGTGAAATATAATGTAAAATGATAAAAATAAGGAAGAAAAAGTGAATCTAGCCAAGGTCTATGGAGAGAAGACTGCCATTGAAACTTTGATCACTTAAGGATAGCTATAGCTAGTCTCCTCTGTCTGAAAAGGAATCTCCAGTGTCCTTGCGAATGCGAGATCCTGAATCTTTGATGAAGGATAATGCAAGCTTAGCAAAGGAGGTTAGGGTAGTGGTTACTATTGGGATTTCAAATAGTTCTTTTTGCTCAAGTAAATTAGTTTGGAGTTGAATTGGATAATGCGAATGCATCTATACAAAAGTCTCAAACTATTGGTCCAATTTCCATGGGATCAGGGTTATTCCGTCAGGACGCTTTCCATCGGATCTAAAAGGTCCTGGTGATTCAAGTATAGTGGGTATTTGGGCGGATTTCAATGCTCGCTGTATCAAGGAATTGCTTTGGGCGTGCCTGAGGATTCGTCCTTTCCACGATCTGCAATGTAAGCTAATACGCGCATCATTTCTATAGGGTTCGTTTATTATTATTATTATATAAGAAACAGAACAGGTTATACCAACAAAATAATGATTTATATTTTAAACTTTTATTAAGAATTGTAAATGAACCGAACTTTGCGTTATTAACCTCCGGCTATGATTGGATTATGAAATAAAAAGTGAAAATAATTCGCTATTAACTTACCCATTTTAAAATGTCGATTAGGAACCATCAGCAGATATCATGCCTTCAAAAGTGGTTTGTGTTGTTAAGCGCTTTTATTTGAGGCTATTTTTAAAAACGGCACTACCTTCTGTGAAATTCAAATTTGAAAATTCGCGCTAAAAAAAATATTTGTCATATAATGAATGGTTAATCTTATTGATATTATTATGAACGTTTTAATGAAGAAATCCATTTTTTATGAATATTTCTTATAACATACCCTATTTAGATTATTTTTCCGTTATATATAATTAATATAATGAAATTTATATGGGGCAAGATATTATTTTTTTTCACGATAATGAAATTGAACGTTATTTATTAAATTTTAGATATCAAAAATTGTTTGTAATAGATTCGACCCGAAATTTATGGATAGTGACGAATAATATAAACTCGAGGAAATTAATGTATTTTTTTCAGATTGCATTAGTGAATAATGGTTGTTTTAGTTGACTCCAATTTGTCAAATCGATTTTCTTCGCTGAATTTTTCCGATTTACATTGTATATTCTTGCCAAATATTTGTTAGAACTCTTTTATTCATTAGCAATCCTCCCCTAGTGGGGTTAAATAAAAAAAAATTGGCGTTATGTGTTGTTTGCTTAGCTGGAAATGATTGTCATTTTTTAAACAAGATTATTTAATCTGTTCAATGAAATGGCATAAATAATTATTATATTTATATAAGTTCAAAAGCAATAATTTTTCATAAACAAGATAACGATCATCTCATCATAAATTTGATTCGATTCTATTAACCTCTCTATATATCTATTACAATACAATTAATAAATAATAACTTTTACGTGAAATTTGCTTATTAACGATTATATTATAATCATGTAATATTTGCTCTTCTATCATTAAAAATTTATTATCAGAGACCTGCAGAGATGCCATTTGCAAGTCCCGGCCCGGGGTTTTTTTTTAAAAAAAATAAATAACTTTTCAAGCTCGGTCTGGATTAGAAAATTTTTTTAATTTTTTTTATGACGATTTAAAATATACGGCTTAGTCCTGATATATTTTTTTAAAAAAAATTAAAATAGGCCGGGCCGGCCTACAGACATGATATTTGTTACAGTGTTGTGCAGATTTAATTTAAAACAATATATATTTTTGAATTCTTTTGTAAATAAAATTATTTAACTTGTGAAAAATTGATAAGATTATATAATAAATATGTTATTTTAACAAATTTTTTTGCAAGTCAAATAATCTTATTTTCAAATAAATTAAAAAATATGGAAAATGTTTCAAGTTTTCAATTATTATTTTTACAAATTAGATTATTTTTACTCTTTCTCCATTTTTTTTTTGGATGTTGGGAAAACTTATAAAGAGATTTTTTTGAAAAAAAAAACTTGATTTATTTATGTATATATATTATTATCGAGACCAAACTTTTAACGTCGTTCTCCTAATCTTTTTATTCACCTGAAAAATTGTCGCATTAAAATATACATCTCTTTTCTAAACCACGTGTTTATAACAAAGGGACGATCCCGAGCCTTTATACGAAACCGACGGCAACATACTGATAATGAACGACTCGCTGAGACACCTAGGCGACGCCGCCGATACCTCGTTTCCCAGCAATCCGCCTTTGGACTCCGACGTAGTCGTCATCGCGGAATCCGTCGCGACGAATAACGACAACCCGACTAGTGCTGGCATTGATCGCAGCAAGGCGAAGCGCGGACCTCCCGATGGGGCGAAGAAAGAGGAAGAGAAAGAAACTACATTGGAAAAAGTGACTTATCTGCTCTCACTTCACCCCAAATACTTTCAAACCTTTTATAAGGCTCATACCTTTATGCTCAAAGGCAACGGTCCGCTCAAATACACGGATCGGAATTATATCGCTTTAATAGTAAAAACTATTTTTAACCTTAGCTATGTTTAAACTTTGCTGTAAACAATAATGTATTTTTTGATACAAATATAACTTAGTACATATGAAAACTTTTTGAGTTATTCCTATAAATTGGTTTTTGAAAACCTTTATTGTCTATGAGTTTCGGTCGAACCAAATACCGGATTCTTACTGTCACATTTGAGATAAATTAGTTTTTTTTTCTTCTGTTTTTATTCATTTAATAATTTTAAAAAAATATATATTCAGGGATTGAATAGTTATAATTAACTTTAACTTTAAATTTTTAATTACAATTTTAAGAAAGAAAAATACATTTATATAATTATTAGATAAGTTCATTCTTTTAATGTTATTTGATATTATTTAATTTTTTTTTTAACTTTAGAATATGTATATAAGATATAATATATTATACTAGTTTATTCATTTGTCACCAATATTTACCGAGAAAAAAAATAGGTTATCTTTTCCTATTTTGAAAAAAAATTAAATAATATTATGTTATTACACTTTTGCGTGTGTTTGGATAGTTGCTAATGTATAGATTTTATTTACTCTTGATAGGGTAGGAGATTCGATTCGAATAGGGACAATATTTATAAATGTTTAAAGAAAAATATGACTTAATAGGTTGTATTATCCTCTTGTTAAGGGTTGCCTGAATTGGGATGTTCCATAGACTGAAAAGTGGTTTCGATTTAATCAAGATTACTAATATTTAATGCAACAGTTATCCAGGTCCTATGGCAGCAACACTTGGGAAATAAATAAATCTCATAATAAGAGGATATAGTTGTTTGTTAACCGCTCTCTGCGCCAACTCAGCGGTATCCTCTATCCCAGATTAATTTCACATACCTATAATGGAATCAAATTATAGGAGATAAACCGTATTGGCTGTACGAAACTATAAAAGATAGGCTTAAATCTGACCATCAATTTATACGTTTAAACAATGATAAAATCTCAATTAAAAAAAATTACTAAATATTAAATCTAATTATATTAACCCACCAAACCCCTCTATTCCCCGCTAACATCACTTTTACCTTCACAATAGTAAAATACCTGAATACTTAATACTGTCATATAAGCTTTCATTAATTATTAAACATCATACTTAAAGAAAATAAGCCAGTTTTCTTTTAGGGATTTAAGATAACTCACTTAATCAACTTATTTCATACAGAATTTAAAAACTTAATATCAGCGGATACCCTGCCATAATTAATTTTCTCACTTTCCGTAGTAAACCTGCCCAACAATTGTGGAAACGAATGAAGGTTATCCCCAATTAATAGTTAGGGCGAATTTGCACTAATTATATGTGTATGAGTTCTGAATTAAGTTATACCTAATACTTTTTCCCCATTTTGATTGACGGGTATGCCACAGCTTGGATTCCCCCCCCCTTTTTTTAATTATCTATTAATTTGTACCGCATAAATTTGCAGAGAATTTTGTAGGATTTTATAGAAAAAAAAATTATTAAAACGAAATTGTATTTTTATTTTAACCATAAGCTCGTAAAATGTATTTTTTTTTAGACTACATTTAAAATTTTACATAAATTATACCTCGTATATGTTTTTATCGTTTTTTAAAAAAAAAATACTATACATTAATCATGTGGAGCAATAAAAACATCCCTAAATTACTCTGGGCTCTCTATTTAAAAAATAATAATTTTACCATTTTTATGTTTATTTTTGCAAAAACCCATAAATCATTGATTTTATTGGTTTTTAAAAAAAATATATATAATCAAATTAGAGATTATTTTAGTATATATATATTTTTTTTAAAAAAATTGAAGCACAGATGCTTTCATCATTCTGTGAAATTATGGTTAATTTTTGTAAATATCCACAGGGAATGTTAGGGGGGGGGGGGTTATTATCGTGATTTACAATTTTTCCGCCCCAATAATCTTTGGCCGGAACGCGGACTTTAAATCGGGCGGTACGGACCTCTAATATGGATTGTAGCTTATAACGATTTTTAATTAAAAATATCGGTAAGATCCGATGTGATTATTCGAATCGGCCTTTATAAAGGTTTTGCCGCCCGATCCATAAATAAGTTTCCTGCGAGTTGGTATATATGTTATTATTTTTCTGCCAATTTTTGAAATTTAGCAAGCAAAGTTTGAAATATTTTGATTGTTCTGTTCTAGCTTTAAGCGCGAGTGGAAAAGAGTTATTGAAAGATACTTTCCAACTATATATTAGACAGATATATGGCCTAAAAGTATATAGGATACAAATACATAGTTTAAAAATATCTAGATAAGATTCAGGCCATGTATCTAGATACAGAGTACCTTTATCAATTCTGATCGCTACGCCTATATATCAGGGATAATGAAAAAAATTTAGGCTGGAACAACTCGTATAAAATATTTATTTATTTTTACAGACCGTGACAAATTTTTAACATCTTTAAAAAAAAAATTGTTTTTTTTATAAAATTATTTAATTTTTTTTTTCAAGTGAAGTAGAGTATACAATAAAGTTTACTTTCAAACCTACTCTCCTGTGTCCTCCATGTTTTATTTAAAAAAAATAATAAAATGAATAATTTGAGAACTATTAAAAAATAGAAAAAAATAGACATGTATTTGTCCCCACAGGATGACAGAGGGTCAGTTACAAGGATGTCAATCAATTTTAGCTATGGGGGGAGGATTTCAATATATCATAGGGGCTTTTTATATATCTTTGAAATTATCGGTTATCTGCCCATATTATTAAACTTTCCGATACGATCGATAAAAGGATTCTTAGTTTGATTTTTTTTTAAAAAAGATTTATTAATATTTTAAGAAAATATATTTATGTATATGTTTTAAAAATTCTAGTGTTGTAAACGAACGCGTTCATGAACGAAGTTAGTTTTTTTGAAAAAAATATTTTTATTTATTTGAAAAATTTAATATTTCCGAATTTTTTAATCGGCAATTTAACACATAGTTTATTAATTTGAATATTATTGTTTATATTTTAATTTAATAGGTTAGCATAAGCATGGATGTTATTTTTTAATCCTCATCATCTGATTCTGATAATCCAAAATCAGATAAATCATCATTACTATGGCCAAATATGATAAATGTTTTACATTAAAATCCTATATTAAAGGAACCAATCCAATGTTTACCAAGTGTAAAATGTGGCCAAAAAGTATTATATTGTCAAAATCTTCAGGTTCCAATTTAAAACGACATTTGATTTTAATATTAATTATTTGATTTTATATGATATATCTAAGATAAATCATTAAATTTGAAGAAATAATGCATTTGGGATATTTGACCCCAACAATAGCGATAGTTAATTTAAAATTATAAAAAATTAGTGGCCCCAAATATGATCAACCATTGATAGACGCCGTATTAAATGGGATTAATGAAAGGTATTAAACCTATCACTCTCAATTAATTACATATTATTTTTTTAAAGATTTGAACATTTATATAAGGATTAATATGTTCTTTCTGCAATTATACATCCAGCATTCAAACCTCAATGGCCATGGATAAAACTTCCACAGAACGAACATATTAAAAATAAACTTTTAGCGTTATTGGAAAAAATGCTTTGAAAACCCTAGAGAACTGTTAATTTCGAGATATCCTTTTTTTTATCGAGAGTAGAGAATGGATTGGAGGAAGATAACTTATCTCAATTTTTTGCAAATAACAAAACAATATGTTTTTAATTAGTTCTCCACGTTAAAAGAGCTGTTTATTAAGTATAACACCGCAATCCCCTCATCTGCCCCTGCGCGTTTTTAGACTAATGCTGTATTAATCGCCAAGTGTTCCTGTCTATCAGATAAATATTTTGAAATCAATTGTTATTAAATTTAACAAGAAAAATTTTTATAAATAAAAATATCTTTTTGTTCGCTATATTATATTATATTTTATTTATAATTATATTATCAAAATAAAACTATATTATTTTTTAACATGGCTAAAATATATTGTATTAAAAAATATAAGTTTATTTATATTAAATTAAATTTAAAAAAAATTTATCATAAAATTTTGAACGGTTTTATGAACGTGAACGCGTTCGATTTTTGTCAATGAACGTTGAACGCGAACGCGTTTGAATTTTTTAGAAATGTTTACAGCTCTAGAAAATTCTTATCTAATTGGAGTGATATTTTAATATTATAACCAGGGACCCATAATGCCATTTTTGCTTCCGGTTCTGTTATTTTAATTAATATTTATTTAATCACCTAAATGAATCCATTATTACATCAAATCAATCATTTATAAAAGATTTTCATATATATATTTGTTCTTTCTGATGTTAGTATAAATTTGAGTGTACATGGAGTTGCTAATACGATTTGGGCCAATTCATATGAAAATTATTTTGCCAAATAATTTCAAGAGAAAATTTAACCAAAGTGTTAAATAAACCACATTGCCCCCCCCCCCATCTCTCAAATAATTTTTTTAAATAATAAACTAAGGGCCCATTATTAAATATGATGAAATTTATATTTAGCCATATAAAAGGTCATAACTCCTAAATTCACGTTCAGTCCAAGTCTGGTATACATCTACAGAAATTTATTTTCGAAAATACTTTTTTTCTAGGGCCATTTCTGGTTTTGCACTTTCAGTTTTTGGTATTCATCGGGTTTCTATCACATTTATTTTATGTCATATTAAAGATGATTAAGCTATATAATAAAATTTAAACCATTGCCCTACCTTAATCTATCCTTGAGATATGAAAATTAATGAACTGCATTATGTCAAAAATGTACCATTTTCCCGCTCTTTAAACGCCCATATATCTGAGCCAGTAAGTGGTGTAAAAAATTAAAATTTCATTTTTTTTTCTTAGTTATAGTATATACTACTAATATACAAAATTTTAAAAAAATTCTGAGGGGGGTCGGGTTGAAACCTTGGTTGATCTGATATGGAATTCACCATAAACATCTATTATTTTAAAATATTAAAATTATTTGGAATACAACTGAAAACTTTATTTTTCTACACGCGTTTTTTTGATTGCTGAAAACGCTTTTTATCTATATGATAGGTTTTATTTGGAATTAGAGATATATTTCTAAGAGGAACGTATGCCGTTCGTTGCCCTGATGAGATGACGCCAATGGTTCTCTCTCCATTTTTTTAATCGACACCGTGATGAAGGTTTCCTTCACAATTAACCTATATCATTCTCTAATTATAAATATAATTGTTACAACATCGGAACCTTCTATATGAGAACTGAATAATAAATTATTATTATACTCGGTGAAGATAAGAATTAAGAGATTTAACTGGTTATTAATGGATATTTTTTTTAAAGGCAGCTTCCCGTTTCAAATGTTTCCAGCTGATAGACAACCAAGCCCGGGAATTTATAGAGGGCGGAGGGGACCCATCTTGGTTGCGGAACCTTAACAACGTGCCACTCAAGTTAAGGGCCTTACAATCACTCAACAAACTCCTAGCTCATCAACCATGGCTCATCGATAAAACCCACATTCAAGTATTTCATTATTTATATAATTATTCTGAATTTCGGAACAAAAAAATTTTTCCTAGTGGTAATATTTGAAAATTTTCTTTTATTTTTTATTAAAATCCTGATTTTTTTGTTAGTAATGAACATAGCCTTATATTAAAATAATTTAAAGGTATATAAGGAAGATCAAAATATAAAATATTCACTTAAAATATAATTTAATTATAACTTTACACCAATTTAACAGATCCACAGTAATTTGGGTTTATTGAAAGTATGTTTTGGTTCTTTAAAGTGATATGATAATGAAATTACCATTCGATCACCCATTTATCCTTATAAAAACACTTTTAATTTAGAAATTGACCAAGGGAGGATCCGAAGGTAACTGGTCACTTTCGGAGCTCATTTTCGCCATCGCAATTATGACTCATTTTCACTCTCTGTGCAGTTTGATCCACGGCTGCGCCTGGCTTTACAATCTCGATAGCTATAACAAAGTTTCTTCCAATGATCTCGACTCGGAACCACGTGATCTGGGTTCAAACCCTAATGGCCACCAGTGCAGTAACGGCGAAAATGGGACCGATATCGATATCGATGAAAATATTATTGGGCGAGTTGATGATGGTAGCGACTTGAATGGCAAAATTTTGTTAGCGGAAGAATGTAAAGATATCAGCGAAAATGATTGGAAAGCACGTGATCAAGTCAAGAATATAATTGAAAGAAGGGCTTCTGGAAATCGTATTGATGTAATGTTTCCTATATTTCCTACCTTTACTTGATCTTCTTTAACACTAACCTTAACCTTAGTGAAGGTCACGGTCCGGTCTTTGGTCCGGACTGGACCGATACCCTCGGACCGGACCGGACCACAGTTCTTATAAAAAGATCGATCCAGACCGTGGTCCTAAATAAAAAGACCGGTCTTTTTATTTGTTTAAAAACATATTTTTTTAACCTAATTTGATTTGTTTTATCATTTAAGAGTATTATATAAACAATAAAATTTATCCAATGGTATTGAAAAAAATGATTTTGCGCTTGTAGAGGGCATATTAAAATTAAGAGTAGATTGTGTTTTTTGAGATATTTTCATTTTCATCATTAGAAGTATATATTTTATGTTTTATCAGATGTCTGCTTAAGGTACCTAATTATTTTATTAAGAATAAGGTTAAGTAATTTTTACAATAAATTATACAGACAGTTTTTTTTAAAAAAATAGAACTATATAATAACTAAAATATTTTAATAATATTATTGCTTATTTTGATTAATTTATTACTTAAAAAATTATAAAGTAAAGCAAACTTAAACAATAATAAAAGACCGGTCCGGACCGCGGTCTGGACCGTTAAAAATAAAAAGACCGGTCCGGACCACGGTCCTCAAGAAAAGATCGGTCCGACAATCGGTCCGGTCCGATCCCGGTCTAAGACCGATAGGACTGGACCGTTGACCTTCACTACTTAACCTTCACATGCATTTTTATTTGATTTACAGGTTGAGACAGAGACGAATGACGGGACGGTCGACGCTCTGATAGTTAAGATGAAGAAGTTACACCAAAGCTTTAATAGGGCGTCTCAAGAGGAAATGGTTAAAAGATACGAGAAAGTTGTTGAATGTAAAAAAAAATAATAACACACATGCCATAAACAATTCAAAATAAATTTAATATTTATTAGGAGCTATGTTTCATGTTATTTTTTTATCTGGTTTGGTTTTATAATTTTTGCCTGAAGAAGAATGGGAAAATTATAAATTGTAGAGGAAAATGTTTTTTGGATAGGCATATCCTGCAGGGCTCTTAATTGTATATTATTCTTGATCGTATGATGGCCAGATTTACCCAAGTAAACCAGTATCCCCTATGATTTCTCTTTTACACTTTTTATATCGGTATCACCATTTGTGAGACCCATTATTCTCGCATTCGTTAACATTTTCATGCATGTCATTCATCTTTGGTCTTTAAATCTACTACTTCTGCTGGTGTGCATCTCTTCGTCCCATTTATGTATACCCTGTCAATTACATTACCTATTCCATTGATAGGTTGTGTTTAAATTATAATTAAAAAAAACATTACCTATTCCATTGATAGGTTGTGTTTAAATTATAATTTAAAAAAAAACATTTTATTAATTTCTCTGATAAATTTTCGATCATATTATTAGTCGAATAATTGGATTATTTTAGTAATTCATCGAATATTTGAATTATACGATTTGATTCGTTTTTGAATAGGCATAATGACGGGTTAGATATTTGCGGTAATGTTTACTTAAGAGAATAGTTTTAATCCCAGTTGCTATATTTAAGGCTGAAATTTAGAATATTTGGGTAAAGCGCTCATAACTTTTGAATAGAAATTAGTTGTATTAAATATCACTTTTATGGGATGAGATGTAAATCTTTTAATTATAATTTAATTTTTGAAGTGTCTTCGCTCGAGAACGATTATGCGCGTCATTCTCCCAACCATCCCACCTCAACCAAAGTACCTGGTCACAAATCATCAAATCTCAAGCACGCTAATGTGAATACCGCTGTAAAACCGACTAAAAAGTATTGCGCTACTGATAAATTTAACCCCGATGCCATTAGAAATTTTGGTTATCTTCTGGGCGAAGAAATTATAGGAGAGGACAACAGTAATTATTGCGAACGTTTTGTCGAAGATCCTCATTTTGGTTATCAAGATTTCGCCAAACGAGGGGATTACCCGACTAGAACTCCCACTTTCAGAATTCAAGTTATTTTTTTTTGGATAATTTATCTATACTTTATATATATTTATATAATTATTTGACCTGATCCATAAATGAATTAAAAAGTGTTATTTTGGGTTTGTTCTTAGATTTGACGCCATTCTGGTTGCGATGCCTAGATTTCTCCCGCATTCGGAAAATATTGTTAAACGGCTCGTTTTCAGCTGATTTTTAAAAACGGGTAACTCATTATTTCACCTAGAAAAATATTAGCAAGCCTGAAGATTTTGCTCTTAGAAGGAACAAGGTCTAGAGATATATTATGGAAATCTCGAGGCTTAGGCAATATTTTTCTGACTAAAATATTGAGTTATTCCGTTTTAAAAAATTGGCTCTATTTTGTTATTATTATACGCGATATCGAACGAATCGTTTGTAATCCAAATGACATTTAAAACTTTTAAAATGATGGTAAAATGACAAAAAAATTTCAAATTCCTCAATATGATAGTTCGAATTATTGCTAATTTTTTAAAATTGGGAATATTTTGGCTCAGTGTCCTTTTTCAAACACGAATAAAGGGCAATATGTTGACATAAATATATATTATATGTCGACAGAAAAAAAATTATATAATAAATATGGATACTATCTCATGTCCGTCAGAATAAAAGTATATAATTGATTTATAATTAGGACACCAACTTTATTCATTCATAATATCCATTTATCACAACAATATATTATTATTTTAAAAATAAATTAAATGTATACGAAATATTCATAAAAGGATTACACATGGGAACATCACGGGTTTTCCTTGGTCAGTCGACTATGTTCCGATTTGGGCCCTTTGTTGGACGATAAATTCAAAACTGCCTATCATCTTACTTATTCGACGTAATGAGGGCTCTAATATAATATATTTTATAAAACTTATTTGCAATCACTTCAATATTATACGACCATTTAAGGCTGATTTTAAAAAAATATTACCACTTTATATAATTTTCAATTAAAAGTTAAGAAAGGAAGGAAGAAAAAAAAACATAATTAATTCATACACTAATTTTTTTTTAAAAAAAAAGAATGGGCAAGGTTCATAACGTCGACACCTCGATGTTCCGACGCGCAATATGGAATTATATCCACTGTATGTACGGTATCCGTCACGACGATTACGATTATGGTTTGGTGAATCAATTGCTGGCACGAAATCTTAAAAGATTCGTCAAAACGCTGGCTTGCTTCCCCGAACGTCTATTCGATGTAGGCGATTCCATTACCCAAAACGGTGAACAATTTTTGACCGATAACAAAAATACCAAAAATGGTAGAAACTTAGGGAACGATGTTCAAAAAAATGGCACTAAATGTGATAATAATGATATTAGTCGTGCTCGTGATAAGGATCACGAACGTTGTGATAATAAAACAAAAAGATCTTTAGGTGCCGGTAAAAATAATTCTAAAAGTAATGATACTAGTGGCAATAATGCCTTTAGTGACGTCACCGGTAGCAAAGACGAATTCATGAAGGATTTTCAGGAATCTGAAAAAGTTCATTCATTTTTAAAATATATATTATATATATAATATTGATAGAATATTCAAATTCAAACCTTGTTTTTTGGAAATTGATAAATATCTTGTTTCTCATAAGATTAAGTTATTATGAACATAGTGGCTCGACCTTTAGCTTTCTTTCACAAATGCGGTTGAATCTTGAATTTTCATTATTCAAATTATTTTTACTCCTTTCTATGAATGATTTGGTCTGAAAACAGTCATTTATATAAATAGATTCAAGCCATTATTTGGTATAATGTTTAAAACCTACTAGCCTTAGCCATTTCCGGTGCTATAAAGTTATATTTTTATCTTAAAAATTAGAAAGTACCACCACCTTTCAGATTTTCTTTTATTTATTTTGATTGTTAATTTCTACCAATAGGTCCCTAGGGCCCCCTAAGCTATCTTTCTAAGATGTTAGGTAACAAAATTAGTTAATGGTAACCATGGATCCTCTCTTAAAATGTTACAATCAACTCAAATCGCCATGTTCTGAGGCAACTAACTATCTTATTTTTCCCAGATCTCAATGAGAGCCTATTTTTGCTTCCCTCCCCTCTTATATGTGATCTTTTAAAAAAATATTTGTCTTGTTTTAAATTAAATTTGTTTACATATTATTTTAAATATTTGAACCTTCCCCAGCCATATCTAAATTTTTATATGAAGAGGAACATTGCATTGATTGCACGCACCTCCCACTTATTAATAATCTGTATTATAAAAATTAAAAATTTTAATTTGCTTTTAAAAAAATCTAAAAATCTTTATTTTTTTAAATTTAACATTTTTTTTAATGTGTAGACGGATTTTCTGATATTTATTAAAATATATATTGAATTTTGTTGTCAAAATATTTCAGGTCTAAGCCCGGGTAAAAAAAAATTTTTTTAATTGATTTGCTGGGTTCGACTTATAATCTTATCCATATATATTAATTTAGGTTCACGTGAATTTGATGATAGTCGAAGCTAAAATTCAAGCTCAAATGTTATATGCACTCAGGGCTATTATGCAATATATGACATGAAATCATTTATCTTTTTTTCTTTGTTTTGCTGTTGCAGTTACTAATTACTTATTACTATTTTTTTGTCCCCTCACATTTATATTTATGGAAAATCATTTAAAATTTATTATATAGTATAAAAATACAAAATATATGCGTATTTAAATATTAGATTAGATTACCCCATAAAAATTTTTAATCTGAATATATTCTAATGTTGTAAAAAAAAATTTTTTATAAAGTTTATAATGTGAAATTTTTATTAGTTATTATATAAATACATTATATTTAAGAGAAATAATCCTTATCCCCTGACAGGAAATCGCTTTTAGATATTTAATTTAAATAAACGCGTGAATTTTTAGTATTATAATTAAATAAATTTTATTATTCAATAATATAAATCAAATATTTTACTCTAATAATTTATAAACCAATACCATTAGCATAGATATAAGTGGATGCAAGATATTTAGTCGAAATACACTCCTTCCTATCTTCATCTGAAAAAAAAATAAAGTTTTTTTTATTTGTTCTTTTATAATGTGTAAATATACTCTCCATATGATATTATTGCACAAACATATTTCTCTTTAATTATATTTACCACTAAAAGATTTTAATGTCATTAAAAATGCTTAATTTTGTACCCGTAGGGTGGTCTTATTTTGCGTTTATTCACAATTCTCACTTTCCCTTTTTTTTAAACAAAATGTTTACCATTATTTTTGATCATCTTTTAATCTTTGCGATAATTTAAGAAATTTTTTTTATATAAAGAATAATTTAACTTAAAACATACATAATAATATATATATGTAGTTATTACTATAAAGTAAATACATATTTTTTAAACAAAAGTATATTTGTAAATTAAAATTCTGTTGAAAACTCACATAATAATTATTTTTATAGTGAAAAAATATTATATTAATAAAATTATATCAAAAATTTTTTTCTAATTGAAAGGCATTTCCTTTCTAATATGTTGACAGTATTAAAATATTTTTATTTAATGTGATAGGATATTTCATATTAAGTCAGACAAGCAGCTTAGATACCTTTATGAGGTTTTATTTTAAATATAAATAGTATTGTTAAACAGCTTGATTTCAGCCGATTTTTAAAAAAGCTCATTAGAAAATTGTCTAAACTTCGAGATTTCGTTAATAGATATACCTTTGTGCCATCTATAACCCAAATTCTAAAGCATGCGTAATATTTTTCTGGTTAAAATATTAACTTATACACTTTTAATCGAGCCATTTAACAACACTAAATATAGATTTTGGTATAAGATGATGGATATCCTTAAATTACTCTTAAAATTTACATGTTCCTTTATTTTCAAGATTTCATACGGATATTCAAACTTTTAAAAAGAAATTGTATTAATATAATGTAACAGCTGTATTAACTTCGAAAAAGCTATTTATTATTATTATTACATTGAAAAAGATTGTAAAAAGATTTATTCGTAAATTTGTGTTTAATTTATGGATCGACAAATTACGATTGTTATATTGTCGTAGGTAGAAGCCTTCTTTTGGATCACCTGTGATTAAACGTAACCTTTGCCCTATTGTTTTAAATATTTTTATTGCTTGGGGTCCAAACGATCTACAGGTGTCTGAGACTACTGAAACAAACAAAAGATTATTAAGGTGGCTATATTTATTTGTTTTTGTATTTTCAGCTTTCATGATGGGTTGACATTGGCAAAAAGATATACATTTATAATACTAAGCGAGGGATAAACCTTGTTTCCAGGGAATTAGCGACATTCCATCTGGTCTGATTTGATTATCAGGGCTGAGACAGAGGGTTATAGCGTAGGAATATTTGTGGATTTCAAGATTCTATTTATGATCGTAATGATGGCATTGTGCTTGGATAATATGCCTATTGAAAAATGACAGTGTATGGGGGTGGTGTTTAAGGTTATCGAAGTTTCGCATTGGACACATGATGGTGGCATTCGATTTCACAGCGCAAACAAGACCTATAGCTATTCTAAGTTATTCGTTAGTTACAAGTTTAAATTAGAACTAGGTATAGTGTCTAACCATTCAGAACCAAGATGGCATATGGCTGGAATTATTTGATCCGGCAAAAGAGTCTTATTGTTGTCATTCTGTATACTCAGGGTTCGGTTTAAGTAGAGAAAGAGAGATGAAGATTTTCTTCGAACAGCTTTGAAGTGTAAGTATTCGATGCAATGCTGTATCAATGGTACTGATCTTTTTGTCTTATAGAATTTGGATATGGGCGGCTTGGAGCATTTTTGCTCCAGATGTTTAATGCTGCCCTATGATGTGAATCGATAGCATCCATGTTTTAAAGTGTGTATCGAAATTTAGCAACTGAGGATAAGGCTGAAATGCTTAAGGATATGGGAAATGAATACCTATACCACTTATCTTTGGTGGAAGGGCAGCTTACATCCAAGAGAGTGATGGATATTTAAAATGGACGAGTATTTTAATGAACGTCAAGGTATATTTCAGGAGCATGAAAATTGTTGATGAACGAAAGACATGTAAAATTTTAGGAATGAATAAAAAAATTTAAATAAATAAAAAGCCTGATGAGCAGGTAAATGTTTTAAAATATTTTTCATTCTTTTGAATTTGTCAAGAAATTCATCTCTGAAATGAAATATAGCACTTTTACCTCCAATGGGTGAATCTAGGTGGGACTAGTTTTGTCACTACGATAAAATTTTCAGGTGGGTAAACCGATCAAAGGGCAATAATATTCACATTTATTAGGATTTATTCTTTTTCAATGGGTATTAATAAATCTCGCCACTACATAAAACAGTCTTCTCTCGCGGTTTTTTTGGACAATCGATTTATTTAGATTAATAATCAAGCATTGACAAATTAAAAATATTTATCTAGATACAGATAAATATAAGTATTTAAGGGTAAGGGACAAGATGTTTTGGATATTGTTTTTTAAAAAAATTGCTAAATATACATTTCGTTTAATATGTTTTCATATAGGGCTTATAATGTTAATGTAGTATTACAACGATAATTATATATAAAAAAATTTTGTTTTAAAATTTTATTAAAGTAATTTATTAGGACAATGTGATAATTCGTATATAAAAAAAAATACCTAAACTACATTAAAAATTTTATAAATAACTTCTTAATATTATTAATTTCTCAAAAAATTTATCTGACAATCTATGCCTATTATAGTCCATTGACAAGGTTTGTTAGCTAATAGCCATTCAGCTAGGGCTGAAGAGGGCAAAATAGTGCTATACTTGACAAAAATTTCTTTAATGTATTTATATTAATATAAGATGCTGAAGCATCTTTAGTATACTATCCCCAATTCAATTTCATTAACCTCATTATTTTTAAAAGATATATAATTAAAATAAAAATAATCATCTTCTTCATTAATTTATAGGCTAGTCAAATGCTTTAACCTTGTCCTTGATAATAGCATGTACTTCATCAAAAAACAGATGCAAATATTATTTTTATCATCATTATAACCCATCTGATTCTAAAATAAAGATTTAGAATGGTGGCTGAAAAGGCCATTTTTTATTTATAATTAAAATTAGTGAGTTTGACGTAAATCTATACTTCTTTTAATAAATAAAATTGGGACAAAATTCCCTTAATAACAATTATTTTGGCTTTGCAGCTTATCAATAGTTATTCTTAAGGGATATGCTTTAGCATATTCCTCAGAATTATATTTTATATTATTGGTTTTGCGTTGAAGCAGAAGAAAACTATAAATATTTTTATTGTATATTTATTAAATATTATTCTTAATATTTATTATATATTACCTTAAAAAAATATAAACATATCTAACTGAGGAAGAAATCATTAAGATGTTAATAATTATTGGTGCGAAATTTTAAAAAAATGTTTAATAGTTTGATTCGGATTTAAATTAAATATTTAACTTTTAAAATTAAATAAACGTTTAAATTTATATTAAAAAAATAATGAAAGATTAAGTTAAATAATCAAGAATTTTCTAATATTTTCAAGGCATATTTTTTTAAATTTATTATAAAAAAAATATTTCAAATCACGATTTTTATCAATTTGGTTTACTCTATAAATAGTTGAAATTTTTTTGTTATCCGTCAAGGTAAGAAGCAATTTAAAATGTCAAGATTATTTTTTTTTAAAGTAATATGTCAAGTGTGTAGCTATCACTAATTTACATAAGCCTGATGCGGCCAGGGGCTAGTTAGTCTCCATGAGATGACGAGGGTATAGGTCAATAGATGATTTCATAATTTAAAATGATGCTAATTTACTAACCTGCCCCTTAATTTTAACATACCTAAAAAAAAATAATCCACTTAACAAGACACCAATATATTTATTATAGTTGTTATCGTATAAAAAGTTTTAATAAATTTAAAATATATTATGTAAGTATTTTTTGTTTTAAAATCAAAAATTTGCGAGTAAATCTGCCAAATGTTTAATCCTGTCATCTATTTGATGAGATTTTAACGTGACATGGAATTCTCGAGAAAATGCTTGAGCTAAAGTCTGGTAAAAATTCGTATGGGACGTATGATTTTGCACACTTTTCCCGACAATTTCGCTAGCTCGAAAGTGTTTGTATTGCAACAATAGAAATTTATCCATCTCTTTCGTCCATACCAATGATAGGTCCGCAGCGCTTTCCTTCTTTCCGTGAATTTGATGAGATCTATATTATATAAACTACATGGTTACATTTTTTTTATTGTTAGCGAGAGATAAAATAAATAGGTGATTGGCATTTTTTTTATGTTAACTAAAAAAAATATCAATATCTTAAATCACTTTCTTCTTCTAAATTTCAATCATGATGATTTTAAGGAATTATTTATTATTAAATAGAGAAGAAAAATTGAAACTCACATTAAAAGATTTTATAAAATTGATCAGCTTTTGCATACAAAAATAGTAACGAGTTACTTTTACCGTTACTTCGTGAATGGAAAACATGGTATACTAATAATGATATTTCCATATACGTTATTTTTTGTCAAATGGCGGAGCTTTGACCAAATCTAAAACAGCACAGCCAGGTTATCATATTAGTCATATAAATCTTTAAGTTGAGACTAACTTAGAGGACTCAAGTCAATTTATTTGGGCCAAAATTTCAAACTTATAGGTTTAAGGTGTTTAATTGTTTTTTTGGATATTACAATATTCATACTCAATTTTAAAAATTTAATCGGGTTCGGGTTGGTTTAAAAAAATTCGAATTCAGGGTTCGGGTCGGGCTCGGGCCGCTAAAAAATCACCTTGCAAACCTCTAACCACACCCATTCATAACCAAAAGAATATGCCAACAAATATTAACCAAAAAAAATACAAATGCTTAATTAATAATTGCACACGGCTAAGAGATGATAAATGGACAGACCATAAAAAAAAGATATGGTTGATTATTCGGAGACTTACGATTCAAACTCGAAAAATTATTCGCTTATTTTACCTTTACTTTAAAAATATTCTACTTTACCTAATTTATCAATTTTATATAAATATTATTAGCCATTCCTACTGCCTCACATACTGCCAAAAAATTAACTGTTCTTTCGGGGAGGGGGAGGGGGGTATTTTGCTTCCATCACTCAGAAAGTGTAGGGGCCAATGTTTCAAGAATACTACCATACTATATAAATTAAAATTAAAAGTTTTTATTGGAAATAAATGAATATTGTTGCAAAAAAAAACTGTGAACTAGCCAAGTGCATATAGGTTGCTATAAAACAATTATTTAATAAATAAACATTACCATCAAAATGTAAAAGATTTTCGCTTTAAAAAATAGGCTTAAATGGCGATGTCGTGTGCCATATGTCTTAAGAAGATGACATTAACAATAACAAAGTTAAATTGGCATAAAACCCAAAAATATTTAGTTATATTTTTTTACATTTACCGGATTTTTAAATAAAATTTACCCGATGTGGTGATGGTCAGGTTTAGTTTGATTAAAATTTTGTGTAATACCCAATTTTTCGTAATCACAATAAGGAGCGGCAAATTTGAATTTTAAAATGGACTTTTGGTTTGAACAAAATGGATCGTAGCTATCTTCGAGATCCATCGTATTCTCCTTGAATTTTGAATTTGTTTTAGTTACGATATATCTTGTAGGCCAAAAATATGATTGTTTACTTAATTATTTTTTTTGATAAAATGGGATAGGCTAATTTTAAAAATAAATAATAATTCAGAAATAACTTTAAATTTTGAATATTCCATCTGAAAGTTGGAAGCAATCGGATTGATCCCAGGGTTGGGAGGAAGATTTGATAGATCGCGGGTTTTGTTAGTATTCTCCAAGTTCAAAAACTGGTGGTTTACTGTTTTTTGATCGTTGAGTACTCGAGGCGAGTAAATATTTATTTTGACGCCAGCGTCCTCTTTCGGAGTTCGCTTCACGCTAGGCTTCAGGCCACTTAAATCAACTTTAATAACTTTGGGCAAAGACGAGTCGGGAGATTTTGCGAGAGAGGAAGAATCCTGGGTGTAAGGACGGCTGACACCACCTTGAAGAGGATAGATTCTAATCTTACGGTCGTCGTCGCCGCCAATTTTTTCAGTGCCGAAAGATGATTTAAGAGAGGAAAGTTTTAGGATCTTTGCCTGTTTTTTTTTCCAGCAATTCGAATAAGTAAAAACCATTTTAGGTCAAACTCAATTAAATGTTTTTATGAAGTTTGGGTGGGTACATGTAATAACAAATATACAAAATACATTCATAAATAAATGCATAGTTAAATTTAGTAATATTATGATTTGTTCTCGAAATGATGTTTCGTTTTCACTTTCTCTGGCAGAGTCGTTTTCTGGTTCAATTAATCATTTTCTTTTTTTTGTCAGATGGACCAATTTATATCCAAAGAATAAGTTGACCTTGAAAAGGTTAATAAGACATTTGTCACTTCACTTAAAAGACAAGGTGGACAAAATATTTTGGTTTATTTCAATTATTTGATGACATTGCTATTTTTCGTTTTTCCATTCTTTTTTCTTTCTTTTTTAAAATTTTTTCCTTTGTTATTTTTAGCTATTTAGCCGATACTTAAAAGACGGCAAAATAGTCGGCTATGACAAAGCCTTAAAGCTCTTTTGCAAATTTATGTTTATTGCATATATTTTATTATTAACAAAACCTCGTTAAACTAATTGTAATTTAAAGTAGATGATATGGCATGATGGTGCACTTAGTATATATTTAACATTTATTTAATAATGGATACGTGAAACAAATAACTACTCGCTCAAGATATAATATTTAGGAGTATTTGACTAGTCAAATACACTTTCGGTCAATTGAGCAGCTTACCAACCCTGGTATAAACTAATAACTGGTATTAGAAAAAAATAGTATTAGGCAAAATCTTTGTGAGAAACGTCAACGTGATTGTTAATGGAGATGGATGATATGATCAATCATTTCAAAACGAAAATAGTAATCAACCTGAATGATTATTTCATTTTATTGTTGGTAATGAATATTTTAAAAATGCTCATTTGGATTGACTATTTATTCGCGAGAATAAAATGATCGTTTGTTATTATTTATCTTCGATGTACAATCGGTTTATGTCATATTTTTTTTAATCGAACGTTTGTCATAATTTTTGAGAGGAGTGAGGGAAAATATTCGTTACTTATGAGAATGCACTGCTTTAAGAAGTAACGCAGTTTTTTTTTCTATTAAATTACTCTATTCATAGCACTAAAATATTGAAAAAAAATCTTCTTTACATTTAAATTATTAATTTATTATATATATATATGCAAGGTGTGCATACTTTGGATGCCATTTTATTGTCCGCTGGATTGGTTTTTCCGCTCCCAACTTCTTTTCGATTATTGTCGCAATCAATGTCAGCGTTCCTTTTAGCGATACTCACGCCCGTATTAAATTTATAAGGAAGGTTACTGGAGCGATTGGAAGGTCTTTTCGATTGGGGGATACGTCGCTTGGTGCCAGTTTTAGCGGGGAGTCTCACAATGGATATAGTTTCAAAATCGGGGTCCGAATCGTAGCATTGTGGATTTGTATCGCAATCCCGATCATCCATGTTTTCGGGGTTAAACGCTACGAGAATTTGGTCATTTTTAAGGGGAAGACTAGGTTTCTTAAGAGAGGTCAAATCGATTTCTTCGAAATCTTCGAGATTAAAACTTTTCACGATATTTTTTTATCATTTAAATATTTAAAATGTTGATAAATGAGGTGGTTAAATTTTTTATTATAATATAATCTCAATCAGAGATGCGCTACTGGTATTAACCAATCCAATACTTTTTTATCAGCTGACACCAAATTATTAGACCTTACTAAAGGTTAGCTGAATAACTTTTCGATACAATTTCACACGTAATATAAATTACTTTTTTAGAAAATTCTTATAAGGTTGCCCCTCTCGCATTTCTTTTCGCTGTTTTTTTTAAAAAAAACTGGTTTTATTACTTTTCATTCTTTTTTTCTAAGAAATAAAATTTTTTATATGTCCTTTATCTGGCAAGCCACAGGGATATAAAGTTTGGTAATTCTAGTAATGGGAAACAAGAAAAATAAATTTCCACAATATATATTTTCTTTTGATAACACAATCATGATTTTGAGCACTTTAAAAAAATTCTTTTATTTAACTCCAAAATTGATTGCCTAAAGTTCATGTATAAAATGTCAGATTTAATTTGAAAAGAAAAAATGTTTATTTGTAAAGATCTTTGATAATCAAAAGTTATTGGCCTCAGCCCGCTGGTGTACTGGTGACAAACAAAAAATTTCAGACTTCAAGCCCCCCCCCCTCAAAGAAAATATATCGAATTCAAAAGTCTATATGTATTAATTTTTTCGATAATTCAAAGACGTTTAGGAAAGAGGAAATATAATATGAAGAGAGATTTGGGGTAGGAGCCTTTAGCGATAATCTTGTCCCGCTCATATCATTTCATAAATCCTATCTCCAAGAAACAAAGGTCGTGAACCCAAATTTGGGTTCGGAAATTATAAAAATCTATTTTAGCGGATATTTTGAAAAGAGGAACTCAATCGAAACAATTTTCTGAGGGTCCATATTACATCGGGTTCGATGGGTTGCCCATAAATTGGTCTCTGTATGGTCTGTGGTCTCAAAATGCCCAAACAAAAAAAAAATTTTATTCGAGTTAACACAGCTTTGAACATAAGGTTAATAAAAACGTAAATTGTCGCGTTTTTTAAATATTTTTTTTACTGTGATAATGGAAGCGGAAAATCGTAGAATATCTTATTAAAGCTCTGACTGAGGAAATTGTTGGATTTACAACTCGCGGATAAAATACTGTGAAGCTCTTTTAGGGTACCGGAAGATAGTCTCCACAAGTTTAATCTCCGGATGATTTTTCTGTAATAATTAGGAGTTTTGATTAGGTATACCTAATTTTTTTTAAAAATAAATAGGAAAAATCATTTGTGGAGACGTAAAAAGTGAGAATAAATTTCGCGAGAAACTAAAAAAATATCCGATGGAATATAAAATAAAATGAATACTTATTCTAGCCCTATCAATTAGTGATATAGACTAGTGATCTGCATCGCAGCCCGAAATTTTTTTTAAAAAGGTTTTGCCGGCCCGGTCAGAACCCGAGATTTTTTTAAAAAAAGTTTTGCCGGCTAGGTCTGAACACGAATTTTTTTTTAAAAAAATTTACCGACCCGACCCGGCCCAAATTAATTTAAATATAGAAATTAATTTTTATAATTACTCAAAATAAAAGGCATCTGTTATATGTCGTTTAGTTCCAATAAATAAAATCAAATATTTTTATTTTACATAAAAAATTCAATATAAAATTGATAAATTTAGATATATATAAAAATATTTCAAAATCCAACCCAACCAGGCCCGGCCCGAACCTGATTATTTTAAATAGAATTAGGTTTGCAGATATCTAATATACACTCCCTCTGCGCAAGTCTCCAATGACATACAAAATATATTATAAACCTATATCTTCATCATGGACCTTTTAAACTTTCCGGGACTTTCAAAAATGTCCAATTGTTTTTTTTAAAAGATTCTGGTATAAGATAATCAACTAATGACCCAACCCATAAATTTTGACTAATGTAATATTATAAAAGTCAGGTGGTATAATATTAAGTTACCTCCAATCTCCTTAAGAATGTTCGAATTTTATCAAAGGTCAAATTATGATACATTGCGTCACACTCGTTTGTATTTTTGGGAAGGCAGTTTTGATCTTCCCTGAAAAAGGTCTCAAGAGGAATAAAAATGGCGAATATAGAAAGCAGGTCTGGTTTATCTTTCAGGATGGTAGACATTTTGTTGTAAAGCTTTGTATAAAAAAAAGGTGAATAGTATTAGTTTCCAGAGGCAATGAACCTTAGAGAAAAAAAAATCTATCATGAAGAGCCCTGCAAAAACAAGAACAGGTCCAAAATATGGCGGGGAAATTTTTGGTCCAAAATCTTATGGAATAAATATTTTGTAAAATTATTTAGTTCGGGTAGTGTCAGGGTTTCAGATATGCTTATAAAGCTCTTGTAAGTATATATCATCATGCTTTTTATTTACTATTATTATCATGCTAATGTATCTATTTTAAAAAAAACCCCTAGAAGGAGTAAAATTTGGACCATGAGCTCGTAAGATTTATTGATCCAACTCATTCCCCTCATTCATAATTAGCGCGATTTCGCGGCGAAATACACAAAATATGGTGCATTTTTGAATTCTTCACCGCTAATTCACGCTGACTGCAAATGAGGGGTTATATAACTACTAGGGTACAAAGGACCCAATAAGGTTTTTAAAATCGTTACTTTTTTCTCAAAAAAAAATAAAACTAAATTTTAAAGGGGAGGGGGGAAAGGAGAATTACCTCCAAATAGCTAGGTAGATCGTTTACATTCGGGTTGGATATTATAGCGTCGAGGAAGACTTTATATACCTCTGGACTCAAATTTTTTTTGGCTTGACTCAGGAAACATCTGGCTATCGCCATTTCATTGTCTCTTTTCTAAAATCAAATATATATTTTTTATTTTAAAAAAAATGGAAATTAAATTAGTCATTATCCGTTTTAAACTTGAGAAGGTTAAATCGGACAGATCGGATTTTAAAAAAAGCCAAATCCACGAAAATTTTTTGGTCAGAATTCGAGTCCAAAAACCAGGTTCAAAATTGACCGTTGTTTTTTTTTAAATCTGTACTCATTTATAAGATAAACCAGCGTTTCCGATTCAAGAAAAATGGCTTTTGGACCCGATTCATGGTTCCGAGTTCGAAGCCCTGCTCTAAAACTTTATAAAATTATAAAAAAAATATGAACGGTCCGGAACGTTTCAATTTTATAAACCATTTTTAAGTCCGGCCCGTTCCCCTATTTGGAATTAGTTCGCTATTTCTTTTTAATCCTTTTCCCTCGTCTTTCATTAAAATTACATTGATGGTATCTTGATGAGTCATGTTCTCCTGGCTTAGCAATGATAATGTTTGTTCCAGTTCTTTCCTCGTTCTGTTGAGTCTCCTGAATTTGACGCCGCTCAAACCTTTGGGCAAAAATCCGACCGTGCTGGAGGCCTTGAAAAGCTGGTCCAAATCGGAAGTGGGGCCCTTTTTACAACTGACGAAATCGAGATTGCGTTTGGTGGTCCTGGTAGAATCTTTGGCCATGCTTTGACGCGAATTTTCATTAAATCTCCGGCGAATATTAGAGGAAAGGATCTTGGTCGAGGGTATATTTGAAGCTAAAATTGATATGTTGGAATAAATAATATTCAAATGTAGAAAATAAGATTTAGGTTTTATTTAAAAAGAGACGAAAATATTACAAATCGATTTTAATAAAGGAATAAAATAATAACAAAAAAAAACAATTAAAAAAATATAATATATGGTTCAAAAATTTTACATTTGATGGAATCCGTTATTAGGTGTTCGATTTTACGACTCCGCAATTGTCTGGGTAACTCATTATTGGCCAATCGGTGGCCCTCAACCTCCGCTATCACACACGATTCTTCAATACCAATCTCATTTTTGTCCCGAGTCATGGCGGTATTGGTTTTCTCGCTCAAGTTATCCGACGTTATTTGATCAGGATGATCCGTATTATCGTCACTTTCGATGAAATCGGGTCTATTAAGGAAGCGAGACGATCTAAATCGCTTGTACTTGAGTCGTATAGACCTGCACAATCCGAGTTGACGCTTGTTAAGGCCGCCGGGTATTATCGCTGACGATGGCTCATTTTCCTGGTCACGAGGGTCAACATAATTTACATTATTTCGGCCCGTTTTTTCGAAACTCGCGTTTTTGCTATGTTCGCTCATATGACTATCGTCACCCAAAATGGTACCATAACCGAAATTCGTGATTGGACCATTTTTCTCAGTGGTTCGATCGAATTCTTCCGTTTCTGGTTTATTACTCTTAACATCGAGAGTTAAGAGTTTATCCCCTTCCTTCATGGTGAAAGAGAATTGCAAATCTTCGTAATTCCTGACGGATGTTAAAGCAATCTCGCTTTTAACACTATCATCAAGTAGCGTATTTACCTTTTGGAAATCGCCATAATATTTGATCAACCATTTAGGTAAATATGGTTTACAAAGGCATCTGATGTCCTCCCGTTCCAACATGCCCCACGGATTAGAGAGTAAAGATGGATCGATGTTATACACATACCGAGTTATGTTAGGAATCCTACCAGTAAGCAAATAAATTCTTATAGGACCCCCGGCTCTCATAAATTCGTTATCGAGTACGACTTTCCCATTTTTCTGAATATTCCTAAATTTTTCCAATAAAGTCTTGGCCTCTCTCTCAACTCTGCCCAATATGCTTCGGCAAGATTTGCATGGCATCACCAAATCGTGAATTGCCTGGTAATATCGGTTCCAGTGACATTTGCCGGAATTTCCTTCGTTATTTGAGTACACATAAAATAATATAATAAAAACAATGATACTAATATAATTTCGATTTCCATAATTTTGCATTCATTTCGCCATTTTATTTTAAGTCCCGAAAATTCGAATTTACCATAGGCATCGTCATTGGAGTTGGATATGGTGGAGCTTGGGGAATCGGTATTTTTATTACGATGAGTGATCGGCACTATGCTTTCGATAAACTGCATACGTTCGACTGTAATTTCATTTCCCGTGATGGCTATAACGTCATCTTTCGAAATTTTCGAGTCACCTATGGAATCATCGGGGCAAGTGATGGGCTTGACCCAATAACTTAAGGCCAGGGTCAAGAGAGTTTCCTCGCAACCTAAAAACTTGGTTCTAGATGGGGCTATAACCGCGCGCATATCGTGCTGAGAACTATATGATACTTCGGAATCTTTGAACCTCTTCAGCTTATCTGGTCAGTAATATAGAATATAATATGAGAATAATTTAATCACCTTCTTAAGAAATAATTTTTTTTATATACAATTTTTATCCGAGATGTAAATATATATATATTATAAACATTTTTGAATTGCTATCGTTTGAATAATTTTTAGAAACATGATTATTTTTAATAATATTTTTTAAAAAAATAAAATTTACTATTAAATAAAAGGTATCTAACATATATAGTATAAGCATAGGAGGATTAAAACGTTTATAATGGATTTAGCAATTACAAAGTTTTGTAACGGAATACGAGATATCACAAAAATGCTTTATTTCACATAAACATTTAGCACCCTTTAATATAAAAAAAAATTAATACTGATAACAAAAAGAAATAATGTTATTAGATTATCAATGAAGGAAATAATATTATTTTGGCTAAAATCGGTAAAATCTACTTAATGCCATATCCATGCAAATTTTAGGCTGAACTAATAGATATTAACTGAATAAATGTATTGTATAATTAAATAATACGAATCCCAAGCACAATATATGCAGGGTTGGCAAGTCGGTCAATTGACAGAAGGAGTATTTGACCTGGTCAAATATTCTAAAATGTTATTGGTGAATAACTATATTTATTTAATGAACTAATATGTATTTAAAGCATATTTATCAATCTAATTTGTTTACAAATTATTTAAAAATATATTTATATCTTCAAGGCGTCGATTTAATTATAATTTTATATAAAAATATAAAATTTTCTTATTAAAATATTAGAATTTCAATTTGAAATATATATAAAAAAAAAATTTCTTATTATTAATTTGATTGGATCTAAATATATAAAAATATATAAATTTTACTTAAGAATGGTTTGAGACAATTACTAATTGCCAATTTATATTACATTATGATTATGTACAATTATCCTAACAAGATGGGTATCCTAAATAAAGTGTAATGAACAAATATAAATATGCAAGAAAGCACTGAAAGCAGCTATTGAAGAAGTTGGATATTTGTCCGTGAGAAATTATCAATAATATATTAAATGATATTTTGGATAGAAAATTTAAAATTTTAAACTATTCATAAACATTTAGATATCTAATTGACCTTGGCTTACGTAAAAAACGAGATGCTTAATTTAGAAAACACATAATACAATCATGTCCATGATTTTGTAATTTACCAACCTAAAGAAAAATATTAAAGATAAGTTTAAAAAAGAAAACAATCCAAATACATGTGCCCTCACTGCACTGCTGATTATTTATTGGATTCCCAATATAAGGGGAGTATCTTACTTTAGTTTGATGAAGCATATGACATAATACAAAAATTAGTAGTTTCATAAAGAGATGATCATAAAAATATTTTAATTGAAATCATAAATTTCAGAAATAAAAGCGGAGTATTTAGTAGCCAAATTATGTGGAAACCAGTAAACTACATAAAAAACAATCAGATTTCGGGCTTAAGTTGTTGGAATGGACTTTGTTCACATTGAATTTAAAAGAAGTGTTTAAGAAATTCGATTGAAGATCTCGATAACCAGAAAATTGGTAGGAGTATATCATAACATAAGATTGATTAAAAAATGTTAAAGAAAATGATGAATATAAATTAGAACAAGGCTCTACCATAAAAAGCGAAACATTCATTATAGAATTTAGAAAATAATTAAATATACATACATTTTTTACTATTATATATAAAACAGAATTAATATTGTCTTAAAAAACATTTATTTGAATTTGACCATATTTGACTGGTCAACCCTGATATATAGTTGTGACTACACAAATAAAATCAAATTTGAAAAATCATGATATTAGTGATGATTCATAAAGTATAGTTATTTTTTTTTAAATTTAACGACTCCCCCAAGTTTATAAATAGTTATTCATTTTGGTGTTTCAACAACATATATTTTGGTTCAGGATCACGTTTTTTTAAAGAAAAAAAATAGGCATTATTTAAATTTACTTGTCTTCATCTTGAAAACGTCGAAATACTTGTGATCCACTTTGCTTAAAAAGCAAAAATAACTTTTAGAAAGATCCAATGTCTGTTTTTTGAAGGCAATGGTAGGCAATAGTTCAGGATATATAAGAGCTTGGCAATGGGCCATTTCCTGCATCGTTTCCAGACTGATCGGTTTCTTCCTTCTGTTTGAATCACCTAATTTTTTTTTTTAAATATTGTGTTGAAGAAAATTTTTTTAAAGGGAAGCAGAAGAGAGAATATAAAATGGCAGCCAAATGTTAGCGGAAAATTATTTCTTCAGCTGATTAGAAATTTTTTTATACCTGCCGAAATGAAATAAAGATTTTTTTTTAAAAAATACAATTTTAGACCTGTCAAATTTTTGGACTGGCTCAATGGTATATAATATTACCTATACTTGACGATTCATATAAATGTGTTCCATAAGAATCAGCTGAAAACAATCCATTTTAGTTTTTTTTTAAAAGATTGCATTGTGGTTGGAAACTCTTTAATTTTTTTATCCCCTTTTTATTATTCAATGAAAGTTCGATACTCTATAATAATATCTTGGTTTATAAAATTAACATAAAATGAACGAAGAATATAAAATTCAAAGCACCAATAGTCACATTATTCATGAATGCATCCATCAGGTTTATCATATAAATGATTTATATTATATAAACTTTTTTATATGGGAAAACTAAAGACACCAGCTGATATCTATTCAAGGACACCTAAAATAAATGGAATTTATATATGTCGTTTGGGCCATACATAATTTATAACTCTTCCCAAAATAATATAAACATATATACTCTTAGCAGAAACCAGCCGACCAACCCGAAACCCGAACTTAGAACGGACAGAAAAATTATATGATTTTAAAAAATCAGGACCGGGCTTTTAATAAGTTAATATACGGTTCATATTTTTTTAAATTTCTCTTCGAAAACGATTAGCAAAATAATTCCCAATATATAAAATTTCAAAAATTTTAGACATTGGACTGGGGCAGAAAATTAGTCAAAAAAACCGGACCATGCCAAAATATTTCGAGCCAGGCTTAAAATATTCTTTCACAAGTCTAGGCCAAGCCTGAAATTTTTCCACCTATGCAAGTCCCTGGAATACATTATATAAAGGAATAGAAAACATCAAGCAATCTAACTGTTTATTGCCCTCTCCATTATTATCTTTTGCAAAAGGTGCATATGGGTGGACGGGTAAAAAAAATTTTAAGGGTCAAAATGTATACCTCCACTTTTAAAGATACTGCTATTGTACAGCCTCTTTTAAAAAAATATCACTTCATTAGAATAGATAACTAAGGTTAGAAATATATGTGGTAAGGTTAATATATATAAGTGCTTTGTTCTAATCTTTATTAAATAGAAAGGGGGGGGGGGGAGTAAAGAAAGAAATGAAAAAGAGAGAAGAAAGATTGAATGGAAGAAATAAATATTTTTAAAAAAAGAAATGATTATGTTTAAATAATGGCTTAATAAATTGCTAATTTTCCTACAAAAATGGTGGCATAGCCCGTTTTTTTAAAAAAAATACTTTGGTCCTTGGGCTGGTGATATTTAATCGCAACTCTATCAGAATCTGTCTTGATAATTTCCATGGCATGATGCAGATTAATCGGGTTAAACAAAGAATTCGACTCGGTGACCAATGAAGCCTTGGAAAATTTATCCAATTCTTTCTAAAAAAAATTTAAATTTATTTAATAAATTTTAAAAAAAAATTGAACTGTGTTTAGATTAAGCTAAATTTGAACAAATTCCCAATCAAAGATCGCGATTAACAATTAATTAATATATATTATTAATAAAAGACCTATCAGAGACCTTCGGAGGTACCATTTACACAGCCCGGCCCAGATTTTTTTAAAAAAAATTGTATTTATTCTTAATTTTTATAGCTAACCGGCGACTTTAAAATATAAGCCCGGTCTGGGTATTTTTTTGAATAAATTCTTTCAGAACCGGCCCGAGTAGTCTCTGAGACCTATACTAAGAAACTTAAATTAATAATTGATTACAATTATTCGGAAACGGATATTTTTTTAATAAAAAATGATTGCATTGCTAAATAACTTCCTCGAGAAAATGTATTGACATAGAGGACATATATCATTATATCTAAATTCCAAAAATAAACATCTGAACCAAGGGAATTCCTATTCCTCAGACAGAATATACGAATCAATATTTTCAAATTTAACCATTGTTTCTTTTTAGGAACTCAAATATGTTTTTTCTTAGGACTAAATGTTTATTTTTTTTAAGAATATATATTATTATTTTTTAAACACTCTTATAGATATTATATATAATAGTCTTAAATAAATGATTCAATGATAAAAAAATGGAAATATAATAATTTCCTAATATATAAATATGAATGAGAAAATGAAAATAATTTGTTTTATTTTCTAAAGTGGGGTGTATAATCTTTTAATTTTTAATAAACTACCTATGATAATTCTTAAATATCAACTATATGATAAGAAATCCAAATTTATTTTTCTTCTTCTGGCAGCCTTAATTATCGATATTTTCTCATGTGACATGGGTAAAATGTCCATTTGAATTTATAGCCAGTCCGCCAATGCTGATATATTCAATCAAAATCATTTATTAATAATCTTTAGAAAAGTCAGGATATCAAGAGTTTCAACCAGGTTTACAGACCTTTTTAAAGGTTCGGTTAATAGGAGGAATGTAAAAAAACTTAAAAAAAACTGTTTGTTTTTTTTATTCAAAAACGAGGATTTAAAAAAAATGGCAAATTTCAATTTTTTTTATTTAAACTCAACAACAAAATAAGCGAAAAATATGATTGCTATAATTAAAAATTTCCAGCAAAATAATTGGTAGATAGAAAATTTGCAATAAAATTTTGGTTGATTGGATTATATTTTCCATAAGGTTATAGTATCCATCCCTGTAAACCTTTAACGTGTTTCAGTTCTATGATTAATAAAATAAGCGGTGGAGTGCCAACGTCTTTTGGCTGCTAATGGAAGTTTAAAAGGTTCCCTGGGGTCTAGAATAGGATAACCGTCTCCTCGACAGAGTGTAAAACCCATTTAAAGGGGTTGATGTCAAAAAGGGCTCCGATAAAAACCTTGCTACAAAATTTCCTAATGATTAAATCAGAAGGAAAGCCAACCTGGGTAAACCTGGAAATCGCCATTAAACGGAGAAGAAAAAGAATATCGTCTTAACAATTTGGTACAGGTTTGCGTAAGCATTTTACATATTGTCGAAAAAAAAACATATTGAAGGCAATATATTATCATTAAATATATACTCTTTACCTTTATAAATCATAAAAAATAAATCGCTTAACTACGAATATTTGAATAATAATGATTTAAATAGAATGCATGTATAATACAATATTATACTATGAATGTTCTCGCCACTTCCTTGATCGGGTAAATACATTGACTTTCACAGCTCAGTAGGTAAGTTTGAGTCAGCAATTGAACGTGCTTCAGCATTGAATAATAAAATAACAAAACATTGCAATTAAATCTGAAAAAAATACGCTTGCGAGAAATTATTTGACTTTCGATATCATCCATTGGCTAGAAAAACATTAGCCTTAAATGCCTATGCCACTTTTTTTTAAAAAAAAATTCTTTATATATCAAAGATGTGTAGGTCCTGATGATCCAAATATAAAATGTTTTAAAATTTTCATCAAGTTAAAAAAAATCCCGAGTAGGGCCTAAAAAGCCTGCCTGAGTAGGGGCTTAAACATTTTTTTTCTTGCAAAACCCATGCTAGACCGCTTTTTTTAATAAAAAAATTAATTTAAATTATATCAAATAATTAGTTGGAAAAATTTATATAATGGAGGGTTTTATTAATATATACTCTATCGGCTCCTATTTTCAATTTCTATTAAAAATAAATAAATTATGAATCTATAAACCAAGGCCAAAATCACTTCAAAATAAACAAAATTTTAAAAAATTTGGAGTCTGGACAGTAATCCACAAAAATTCAGGCTGGGCTTAATACTAAAAACATATGACATGCAAACGGATTTTATTTTCTCTCTAAAATCTTGGCAGGATTGGGTCAGTGGTGTACGTATATATATATACTAATAGATTCACGATTCATTAATTAAAATGTCCATACATGGGAATCAACTGTAGCGCTATTTTGTGGTCAGCATGCCGATTAATTGTTTTTAATGATTATACGAATGCACATTAATGTTATTTTGATCGACGTGCAAATTACGAAATGGCACTACAGCTGACTCCTATATATGGACGATTTTTAATGATTTTAAATAAATGAATCGCCAATCTAGTAGTATATATACATCAATGGGTTGGGTCTACTCAATATTAAGTCTGCAGTTAGGATTTTGTATTTTCGATCATTTGAAAGTCCAGCATTTAATTTTTTTTTTCAAAATGAGAAATATCAGCAGTATATGAAACGGAAAACGCTTCTATGATCTTTCAACTGAACCAATTTAATATACAGTGAAACTTGTCAAATTTGGGCACCATTATGAATCAAAATTTTTGCCCAACTTAAATATCTGGAAAAATTATGAAGACCTTTTAATTAATAAGAATTTGATTCAGACTCAAAATTTTGTTCAAATTAAAGTTGTCCGAATTATAAAGAGCCCAAATTAGACAAGTATTACTGTAAATTTATTTTTTATTAAAAAAAATTGCCAGTCACAGGGTTTGAGTTCGACCAGGTGTTACAAAATATTTCCTATATAAGTGAATATAAAAGGCCACCATTTTATAGTTTTTCCATATTTTACGATTGATTAATTGAAATTATATTAATTCATTTATTTAGCACGTTGGTCTACAATCCGTCCTAAAAAGAACATAAATGACATAATCGCGCAGGTTTTTTTTCACAAAAAGCTGACCAAAATCTTGTTACCCAGATAAGGATAATAAAGGGAAAGGCACTAAAAATCCCTTAGTTGTTTATATATATTAAATTTTAATATATTATATAAAATCTAACAAAAATAAATTAGAACATTTAGAACCAAATTAATTATGCAAACAGTTATATAAACATTTTTCCTGAAAGCAGATGATATTCTCTGATAATAAATGTAAAATATTTATTTGTAAAAAAAAATATGCTTGACTCAAGTGTTTTAAAAAAAATTACTTTAAAGCCAGTTTTTAGCCAGGCACTCAGAGACCTGCAGAAGTACCATTTGCATGGCCTGACCTAGATTTTTTTAAAAAAAACTAAAATACGGTCCAGCCTGTGGGGCTGGGCCTACTGGACTCTGATATATTTAAGTCAAAATTGCTTAATAAATTTTATAATCAAATTTATTGAACTTTTCTCATCTGATCTTTCAATTGACTGATTTCAATCTCGTTCAATGTATACACTGGTTTTTCGGCCTTACTATTTTCGACAGATAGATCTGTTGTTAATTGATTATTCACTTCCGCCAACGATGATTGAACGGCTCCATCTTTTTTTGTAAGGACGGCGTCGACATCTTGGAATAACTCGTTCCAGAGCCTGTTGAGCTCTTTCCCTGTATAATATACGTTTTTTATTATAGGAATGAAAATGATAAATATTAACTAAACCATTTGAAAGGAAGGACAAAAAGCTAAATTAATAAATAATTTTATTTTTAGTGTTTAAAAAAAGTTACTATTTAAACACCCCCCGTCCCATCTTTTTCAAGTTGGTAAAGTAGATGGGATTGGGAGATACTAATTAAATGGCTTGCCGGATAGCTACAGAGGTTCTCCGTGATATGGAGTTGGTTTATATATAAGGTATGAGCAAGGTCATGATTTGGGCCAGGGTGGAACCTGCAATTTTAAATAAATGGGCAATGCTCGGTTTTCAAAAATCTGGTGGGGGGGGGGAGGGATTTATTTAATGTATAGAGGTAATTCCAAAAGAATATGTTTTATTAAAGAAAAAAATGTCTCAACTGATGTTTAAGAAATTAAAGAGCCAATTTGCCAAAAATTCCTAAGAAAGGTAGGATACTAACTTGAAACTACCGTAGTTCTATCGTTCCTCGTTTCTTCCGGATCCTCCATGTAATCTTCCAGTTCTGCAATAAGATCGTAATCTTCATCTGCCCTTTCCTCGTTTCTATCACTACTTTCGCAGGACAACTCATGACCAAAGTTACTGAAGAACTTGCTAACTTCGCTGTTCTCTAACAATGTGGTGTCCGCCGATTTGTTGATACTATTTCCTTCAAGACCAATCAATTCGGTTATTGAATTGCTTGTTTTTGAGACCATGGTTTGGTCAAGCGACATGCCGACTACAGTTTCCGTCGATGTATTAATGGCATCAATTTGAGAGGTGCGATATTTGTTGGAAGCTATTATTTATTTTTTGATAAAGGATGAATAGAATAGTGTTAAATATCGTTTGTGTTGTATGATAATGTAAGTATTTTGAATAATAATATAGGAAAATTTTAAAAATAAATACTCGATTTTGAATCAATATTTTAAACCCACTTGATGGCACAATTAGTAAATTAATGCATTTGAACTATCCTTTTATGCAGTTTGATTTTTGTAAGACCCATTTTGGGGATCTTTCTGAAGCTAATCAACACAAAAAGTTAGTATATATTGGAAAGATAGTAGAAAAGTTAGAAAAACATGGGTGTAGGGTTAATATATATATTAAAAGAGGTTCAATAAAATTTGTCAGAACAGTCATAAGAGATGTTTATCATCACTCTGAATAATACGGATATTAATCATATATTTTTTTTAAACCTGAATGGGTGAAAAATAAATTGTACATGTTATTACCAAAAATAATTAATAAGCTATTGTATTTAAATTAAGGATTAGAGCATAATTTATTAAATGCTATTTTTAGATCATTTTTTTCATGGTAATCAATTCAAAATAATTCATTATAAGTATAATTGGGTAATTATTATATTTTTAGCTATATAAGCTAATTTTTAGCCGGCTAAAAAATAGGAAAGCAAGTTAGTTGCCAAAAACTATCACTTTAGTTTCGGGGCTTTTCTTACAAAAATAGTAGTTCAAATTTGGAAGGAATTAATATAAATTAAAACGTTTTAATGCTAACGGATTTTCCCCGGCAAGCGCCTGAAGATTGTGCTGGCCGGCCAACATTTCACTACCCAACTATAATTATAAGAGATTGTTTAATAGAGTTTACTTCTTCTCTTAGGTGGTAGATTTTGATCAACTTTAACATCCTGGATAAACAATTCTTCAATCATATTATCATAATCATCTGTTATGGCTTCATGCGATTGATCAGAGTATTCAGACCAATCAGAATCAGCAAATCCTTTGGCTGTTACGATAGAATCTGGCCCAATATTTTTTTTTTAAAAACTTTTATAAAAATACTGACCAGGAATACAATTAGCATTATTAAAGAAATTAGTTGTAACCTCAGTCCAAAGTTTGGGTCAATTCTTTTGATTAGTCAAAATTTAGGACAATTTTTCTACTTTAACATAAAATATATATTTGACCTATTCTCACAAATTCATGGTTAATTTTTATGACACAATTCCAAAATTTACCCAGGCCTTATCATGATAATGGTAGGTTATAAATAAATAATAATGAAATGAATAAACATAATTGAATAAAATAATGCACTGTTTGACTTGATTCCATTTTAAATAGGCCTATGTCTAAGTTTAAAAAAATCTAAATTTCGTTTTCGGTTGTAGTAAAAAAAAGGACCAAAATTTTAGTTGGGGTCATTTTTGTCAATCAAAGTTAAATATAGGCAGTAGTAGCATTTTTTTTAGGTTCCCCCAAAAATTGGGGGTATATCAAATTTTCTAGGCGTCCCCAAAAATTGGGGATATATAGAATATTTTCTAGGTGCCCCTAAATAGATGCTTTTAAGCTTATTAGATACATATATTTAAATTATGGGGGCAATAAGAAAAATAGATACTTTTAGGCTTATTAGATGCATATATTTAAATTATGAGGGCAATAAGAAAAATAGATACTTTTAAGCTTATTAGATACATATATTTAAATTATGGGGGCAATAAGAAAAATAGTTCAACATTTAACGACATGTTGTACAAAAATAATAATTTTTCCGTGGTTTTTTTATAACACTTAAAAAAATGATACCAATTAAGACATATATCACACATGACTGAAAGATCATCATTTAACAATATATGACACTAATGACATAGCCATACTTCTGCTAGTATATTTTTATATAAAATATAAAGTAATTCCCATGCTTCCTTCGTAAAATGTTTTTCAAGAATAGTAACATATACATCATCTTTGCAAATTAATATTGTTTACAAATTTTTCTATAGCCTTCAATGTACATAATTTTTTTATAACCCACAAAATTTTTTCGATTTCTGATAGTAAGACATAAGCCTTAGGTTTAATTTCTGAAAAAAATATATTAATATTTTATAGTGCTGTAAACATTTTTAAAAAAATCGAACGCGTTCGCGTTCAACGTTCATTGACAAAAATCGAACGCGTTCACGTTCAAATTCAAAAAAAGAAACGCGTTCAAGTTCATGAACGCGTTCATGCGTTCAAAATTTTATGATAAATTTTTTTTAAAATTTAATTTAATATAAATAAATGCCTTATATTTTTCAACCCAATATATTAGCCATGATAAAAAATAATAGTTTTATTTTGATAATATAATTATAAATACAATATTATAGAGCGATAAAAAAATAAATTTATAAAAAAATTTTCTTATTAATTTTTAATAATAATTGCTTTTCAAAATTTTAATCTGATAGGCATGAACGCTTGGCAGTTAATACAGCGTTAGCTATACTAAAAACTATTGAATTACCTTTTGATTTTAAAACAGTGAAATATTTATGATATTTGGGCCATGGTAATTCTAATTCATCTAATATTGAATTTTGATTTTCAGAATCGATGATGAAATATTTATATCCATGCAATTAATAAACTTTAATCTTATCTTCTCTAGCAGTAGCACGTTATGGTACGTTAATTGCAATATGAAAGAGGAAAAAGTAAAAACAGCTGATTAAAAAATATAAGACTTTTTTGTTAAAAAATTGGATTAAATATTAATTTTTCAAATAAATAAAAATATAAGACTTTTTTGTTAAAAAATGCGGATTAATATTAATTTTTCAAATAAATAAAAATAAAAAGTGTTTTTAAAATTGAACGAACGTAAAATTGAATGCGTTCATCAAAGAAAAGGAATGCGTTCACGTTCAAAGTTCGTCAAAAAAAAGGAACGCCGTTCATCACCTTTTTTCAAAAAAACGAACTTCGTTCACGAACGCGTTCATTTTGAACGCGTTCGTTTACAACACTAATATTTTATAAAAATAAATTACTGATAAGCTTATTAGATGTATCTTGTATATTTTCCGAGGACTCCTGTAAAATGCGGTTATCTATATAAAATATAGCCAATAAAAAATAAATATAAATACTTGAATTTATTTTATCTTTTAAAAAGAAATCAATGAATTCTTTCTGCGAATTTGGTGGGTATGCTATCAAATAAAATAATGTAAATAATTTTATATAAAATAAAATACCGATTTCTATATCGGTACTTTCTATATTTTTAAGAATTTTCATCAGATATTTCAATCAACAGTCATACTACAAAATATAATCCCAAAAATAAATTATCACAACGTGACAAATATAATAAAATTTATCAAAAGCTAGTATCACAAGCTCAATACATATCACATCTACCGCAAGATAAATTTGATTTCTTTGATAAACAATTTGACATTATCAAAGAATATATTCAAGATGATCGTTTATTCTTTGTGATACAATCATTGACCTCCTCTCCAAATATTATAGGTATTTTGAAATATATATAATATAATATATTTTTTCATTTTACTTTAATTATTTCAGACCTCGCTCATATCCCAACTAAATTTTCCTCAGATATGACTGCCTCTCCAAATGAGAGAGGTTTTTTTATATATATTAATATATTATAATTTTAATTTTAATTAGACTTCGCTGATGTCCCATCGAATTTTCCATATGGCTTCCTCTCCAAATAATATAGGTATTTTGAAATATATATATTATTTTATAATAATCTTTATTAAGATCCTCAAATTAATGAACTTGATATAGAAGTATTTACAATTATCTTAAGTATTTTTTTCATTTATATTTATAAATCTCTATAGATCTTAGATATGATTACTGATAGAAGCAAACAACAAAAAGAGGAAGAATGTATATATTATTTGCAATTTGCACTATTATATTTATAATATTTTCTTTTACTAATTTAGATAAAGAAAATATGGAGATTAAATTAAAGAATATCAAATTGCCAGCTAGGATGAAAAGACAGGGAAGACATAAAAATTCTGATCTTACAGTAATAGGCTTATCAAGAAAATTTCACAAAAATAAAATTGTTAAAAATATAGAAAGTACCGATATAGAAATCGTTATTTTATTTTATATAAAATTATTTACATTATTTTATTTGATAGCATACCCACCAAATTCGCAGAAAGAATTCATTGATTTCTTATTAAAAGATAAAATAAATTCAAGTATTTATATTTATTTTTTATTGGCTATATTTTTATACAGATAACCGTTACAGGAGTCCTCAGAAAATATACAAGATACATCTAATAAGCTTATCAGTAATTTATTTTTATAAAATATTAATATATTTTTTTCAGAAATTAAACCTAAGGCTTATGTCTTACTATCAGAAATCGAAAAATTTTGTGGGTTATAAAAAAGTTATGTACATTAAAGACAATAGAAAAATTTGTAAACAATGTATTAATTTGCAAGGATGATATCTTAGTTCAAACATCATTTGATATATGATGCATAGAAAATAATGATGTAGATATTACTATTCTTGAAAAACATTTTATGGAGGAAGTCTGGGAATTACTTTATATTTTATATATAAATATACTAGCAGAAGTATGGCTATGTCATGAGTGTCATATATTGTTAAATGATGATCTTTCAGTCATGTGTGATATATGTCTTAATTGATATCATTTTAGGTGTCAAAATATTTTAAAAAAACCACGGAAAAAATATTATTTTTTTACAACATGTCGTTAAATGTTTATAAGATTAATTTTATGATTTTAAATAAAAATTTTATGAATAATTTTTTTATTGCCCCCATAATTTCAATATATGTATCTAATAAGCTTAAAAGTATCTATTTGGGGGCACCTAGAAAATATTCTATATACCCCTAATTTTTGGAGGCGCCTAGAAAAAATTTGATATACCCCCAATTTTTGGGGGAACCTAGAAAAAATGCTAGAATTTTTGGGGGCACCTAGCCACTGCCTACCTGAACTTTGGGTCAATCACTAAGTCATTTGAAAAAACTAATCATATATTCAATTCACAATATAATATCTTTCATAAAAAATAAGATTTTAGAATATTTTCAAGCCTCTATATTTATTATTTTAATTAATATAATATTATATTAATAAAATATGAATCTTTAATGTTTACTATTCATAATAATATTCTCATCATTAGTCTCTATTTTCTCAGTCTCCACTATAGCATGCTTTAAAGGAATATTTCATCAAAATGTACACATAATCTTTATTACTTTAGTAATTTTGTCAATATTCAATATATCATCAAACATAGTTTTTTCACAGTGGAAATCTATATCACTTTCATCTTCAGATGGATAGTCAACATCCCCAAATTTAATGACATCAACATTATCTTTATTTTCATTTAGAGTGTTATGATTATTAATTTCATTTTGATAATGTGGTATAACAACAGGTTTATGTAAATTTGGTGGTGAAATGGGCCACATAGAAGAGCAGAGTGCCTTAAATATGGATAAATTATATTAAATATAATTTTTGAAACTTAATATAATAAAATAGTATAGAATAGATAAGTTTTTCTACATGTAAAATAATATGCTTTATTTACTCCTTTATTTTTTAATTCCCTCATTTTTAATCTTGTTATTCTGGGCTGAAAATCACTATCACAAATATGCTTGACAATATTTAAAATTTTATTTTTATATTCAGATTTTTCAATGTGAATTGTTAAATTTGAGAAATAATTATCAGAGGTACATTCTTCATCTTCATTAATATATTTTTTTAAAAACTTTTTCACTTTATCATCAGTTATAAGACACTATAATATAATATATAATGCACATTATTATTTATATATAATATTGTACTTTTAGAATGTGTTTAACATTCAAAACACTCAAATTATTTTTACTGGCAACATCTTCAAGTAAATTTTCTAACTTTTCAAATTCATCTTCGTTTAATTCAGATCTAATATCATTTATTTCTTCTGTCATTGTCAGATCAATTTCGAAACCCTATAATTATGATAAAGGGATTTTATTACAAATAACAAATTCAAAATCTAATGTAGGGTTTTGCATACATGATAGTAAAATCATTTGATCGTAAAGTTCGCCCACATTTTTGATTGGTCTATTTAATCTTTTTTAAATTTTATTTAGCGGTAAATTAAAATGATTTAAAAACATTATAACACTTAAATATTCTTTATTCATAATTGAAATTGAAATTATAGCTTGTAAATTTAAATTATTGTTTAAAATTAAAAGTAATTTAATACAAATCTCGATCTAGAAAAGGATAGAACCCTAAGAAAACTTATCTGATGGTCGTTACGCCAGAAAAAGGTTCCCGAAAAATTTATAAGAAAAATAGAGGATATGTGTATGGGCCATATAACAATTGTCCGTAGCACAACAGGAACTTCAGCAGGCTTCACAATAGCCGAGGGAGTTCATCGAGGGTCGGCTCTCAGCCCACTTCTCTTCATTTAATAGATGTATTATCACATTCTATACCTCAAAAAGTCCCGTGGAATATGATATTTGCAGATGATATTGTGATACTTGCCGATTCCAAGGATGAAATGAAAGAAAGATTTGGATAAATCTCCTAGAAAAGCACGGACTAAAAGTAAATAGAGAAAAAACTGAGTATATGGTGATAGGAGGAGATGAAACAGAGAGCATTGATATAAATGAATGACAGATATCGGCTTGAAGCTGCAAATATTTGGGCTCCACTATACAAACAAACGGCACAGTAGAGAAAGAGATAAAGAGTAAAATTAATCAAAGGTGGTTAAAGTAGAGATCTTTATCTGGAGTGCTCTTTGATAAAAAAAATCCTACACAAATTGAAGGGAAAAATTTATAGTTCCATAGTACAACCAACTATTCTATATAGTTCAGAAACATGGCCAACCAAAGAATTAGACGAGAGAAGTCTAGAAACTATGGAGATGAAAATGCTGAGGATGATTGCTTGGGTAACAAGAAAGAATAAAGTGCGCAGTACAAGAATACTAGGAAGTTTAAAGGTAGTGCTCATTAAGACGAAGATAATGGTAAACAGACTTAGTCTGGGCACACAATAAGAAGGCCTATGAACTACTTAGGAAATTAGGTTGATCGTTTGGAAATGATGGTCAAACGTAAAAGAGGAAGACCAAAACTTCAATGGGGCTATAAAGTTAGAGCCAATATGAAGAAGTATAAATTAGATAAATGAGATAGTATGAATAACATTAAGTGTAGAATGATATTGAAGGAGCTTACCACCAGAAAAGGTGAAATCTAAATAGGAAAAAAAATATATCTATGTTATTTATAGGTTGGTTAAAATTAAATCACCCCTACTATATTTAAAACGATGTACATCTAAAAATGGCTAACAATTTTTTTGAAGCAAACCACTTGGCATAATTTTTAATCAAACATAGAATTGAATTTATAGGCCCTTTTTGAATATATATTAAGCATATTGGACATCTGTATTTCCCCCATAACTCTTAACTATAGCCATTGTAATATTATTCACTTTTTTATATAATAAATGCTCATTTGTATTTTTTCCTTAACCTTTACCATAACCGAAAAGGTATTGTATAATAAAAGTTTTAAAAAATATATAAAATAGATAGTTGCCATGTGTATAATTAAAATCCCATGTTATGTAACTCACCAAAAAATACCACAAATTGTTATAGATGTTTAAAAAGATTTAATTTTAATATTAATTAAATTATAATATTATAAAAATATACTATAAAATTAATCTAAATAAATTATAAAAATATAATATAAAATTATTTAAAAATCATAATATTATTTAAAATAATTTATAATAATTATAACAATTATAATAATCGTATGACCTTTTATAAAATATATCGCCATTTTTACTAACTTATTTCATTTTATTTTATATTCTAATTTATATTAAATAAAATTATATAAAGTGGAAATTTTGTAAATATAGTATCACAATGTAATTCTTTATTTTAATTTAATAAGATAGTTTTCTTAATCATACTTGCTAGTGTTTGCAATGGTCCGGTCCAAGGCGTTCTCATCAGACTCTTGTGTCCCACGGGACGGTCCGGTCCGATAAGACGGTTCGATAGTTCAGTCCGGTCCGACCGAAGACCGATTAAAGAAGATAAAAATTTACTATACTACGTTTTTAATGTGCATGTACATGAACACATAAAACAAGATTATTTAATTAACACTTTATGATATCTCATTCTCTTACTGTTTATATTCTTCCGTTTCATTCAATTCATTCGTCGTCAAGTAATTTAATTTAGTAGGGTAGGTGGTATTATATTTTTATTTTTAGAAATGGATATTTAAATCATAGAAGTTGATAATATTATCACCACACTCTACAGGGGGTGAAAAATGACTATTGATGTAAATGAAAAAAATCCATCAAATTCTTTACATAATGTTAAAGAATTATATATTTTAAAAAGAATAATGCTGGGAAAACATGTAAAATATTTCTACAAATCAAATATTTTCCAATTCTTCAAGCACAAGTAAATTAATCATATAAATGGAGCTCAATAAATATCTATATTATAATTTTCCGATGTCCTCACTACGTCATCGGGACGTCATGTCATCGCTACGTCATGTCATTGCTAAGTCATGTCATCGCTGCGTCATGTCATCGTTACGTCATGTCATCGGTACGTATTTATTTTTTATTTGTTTAATTAATTTATTTATTTTATACAAACAGATGATCCTATAACTTAAATTTTCTATGCAACTGTAGGAGCCCATATTAAAACCAAAAAGTAATACATTATTTACTATTGTTGATTTTATTTATTTATTTTATACAAACAGATGATCCTATAACTTAAATTTTCTATTCAACTATGGGCGGCCATATTAAAACCAAAAAGTAATACATTATTTACTAATTACAAATTATTAATATTTTATATCTCTAGGCTTGGGAATTTTTTTTCAAAATTAATGCAAATGTAGGAGGCACAATATTACGAAGCATATAATTAAGGAAGCATATAATTATAAAAAAAGTTTATCAAGCCCAGCTACCCTTAATAATTTGTAAAAGATATTCCCATGTCCATTGATCAAGTCTTGAGTTTATACCAATGTTTATACATAGGAAAGTAATACATTATTTATTAAATATCACAAATTATTAAGAAAGCCCAATGATGGGGAATGAGATTTTTATTCATTTTTACGATAGTGTCATGCCAGGTCCAAGCTCACAATATTAGGAAGCATACAATTATAAAAAAGTTTATCAAGCCCAGCTCAACCCTTAATAATTTGTAAAAGATATTCCCATGTCAGGTGCAAGTTAATATTAATTTTGAGGTTCCAAGCCCAGTCGTATCCAATATAATTTTGAAAATTTTTTCCCACCTCGGAGATATTTAAATTTTTAATTGATTTATCATCACATGAAGGGTAAATATTTGATTTACCAATTAGTTTAAAATGTAAAAAAAACATAATTAATATTAGGTCAGACCTTATTTTGTCATAATTCTCTTTTATACCAATGTTTATACATAGGAAAGTAATACATTATTTATTAAATATCACAAATTATTAAGAAAGCCCAATGATGGGGAATGAGATTTTTATTCACTTTTTACGATAGTGTCATGCCAGGTCCAAGCTCACAATATTAGGAAGCATACAATTATAAAAAAGTTTATCAAGCCCAGCTCAACCCTTAATAATTTGTAAAAGATATTCCCATGTCAGGTGCAAGCTAATATAAATTTTGAGGTTCCATGCCCAGTCGTATTCAATATAATTTTGAAAATTTTTTCCCACCTAGGAGATAGTTAAATTTTTAAGATTTATCATCACATGAAGTGTAAATATCTGATTTACCCATTAGTTTAAAATGTAAAAAAAACATAATTAATATTAGGGCAGACCTTATTTTGTCATTATTCTCTTTTATAATGTTTATACATAGGAAAGTAATGCATTATTTACTAAATATTACAAATTATTAAGAAACGGGGAATGAAATTTTTATTCATTTTTTACGATAGTGTCATGCCAGGTCCAAGCTCACAATATTAGGAAGCATAAAAAGTTTATCCAGCCCAGCTCAACCCTTAATAATTTGTAAAAGATATTCCCATGTCAGGTGCAAGCTAATATAAATTTTGAGGTTCCAAGCCCAGTCGTATCCAAAATTTTGAAAATTTTTTCCCACCTCGAAGATAGTTATATTTTTAATTGATTTATCATCACATGAAGGGTAAATATCTAATTTACCATTTAGTTTAAAATGTTATCAACAAAAAAAGGAAGCTTGAACTTATTTCCTGTTTGAGATAAGATTTTGACAAAGAAAAGATAGATTCGATTCCTTCCAAAAACAACACATTACAGATTATTTTATAATAAAGATAAAAAAATAATAATTGGATGAAAATATGAATGAAGAATCTTTTGATTATGAACTTAGCTTTTTACAAATTAAAGATTACTCTTAAATTTAATTTTTATTTATCGAATATAATATAACCCTCCCATTCTCTGTACCATTTGAACGGCACTTTTGTTTATCTGATCAAAATTTTAAAAATCAATTGTAAAAAAAATAAAAAATTATTACACAAATATCTTATCTTATAATATATTTTTTTTGTATTATTTTATTTATAAATTATATAATTTATTATAAAAAGATATCTTATTATATATTATTTTTTGCATAATTTTATTTATATAAAATCTAGGAGGAAAATTTTTTTTTTGTATATTTTTTTAAGAAAAGAGTAACCCTGTTTTTTTTAATAGCCAGTAATGTGCGTTCCTTTTTTCATAAGGTAGCGAGTAATGGTAACGCGTTCTATTTTACAGAAGTAAAGAGTAACGCGTTTCTTTTTTGAAGTAACGTTTACACCACTATTTTTTAGTGATTATTGGATATACATTTTTTTGAATTCTTGAATGTTTTTCACATTGAATTG